GGATTATTTCACAGGGATATTTAAATGAAGTAATTTGGATTATTTCACAGGAATATTTACATGCAGTAATTTGGATTATTTCACAGGGATATGTGAATACAGTAATGTGGATTATTTCACAGGAATACTTAAATGCAGTAATTTGGATTATTTCACAGGGATATTTCAATGCAGTAATTTGGATTATTTCACAGGGATATCTGAATGCAGTAATTTGGATTATTTCACAGGGATATTTCAATGCAGTAATTTGGATTATTTCACAGGAATATTTGAATGCACTAATTTGGATTATTTCACAGGGATATCTGAATGCAGTAAACATCCCCAGCTCTGTATGAAGCACAGAAACCCCTGTGCTCCAGAGGTTATTCAGAGCCCTGCAGAGAGGAGCCAGCCATTCCAGGTGGCTCCATGGGAACCCCTCAGGAAGCACAGGTTTAAATGCAGGTGCTCTGTGCATTTTGTATTATTTGTGCATTAATAACTATTTCCTACAGACTGTGCATTCCTGTGGAGAACATGACCCTGCACCTTGAGATGATGCACAGCTGAACCCCTGGCCAGTCATTTACAGCCAATTGGCCATGCCCAGGGTTAAATCCTTCAGAGATACTGAGGGAGAGAGGAAAACCCCAATCATCTGAAATCATGGAAATTATCATCTGAAATCATGGAAATGATCATCTGAAATCATGGAAATGATCATCTGAAATCATGGAAATCTGAAGGACCAAAACACAGAGGAAAACGTGAACTTTTGAAACAACTTGTGTCCAGAAGAATGATTTTAATAGTGTCAGTAGGATTTGCTAATCCACACTATTACTATATTTACCTGTAATTTGGAATATACCAGCAGGCCCCTGATTTTCCAGGATTGCCATCCCACAAAACCTTGCTGTCACCAACTCCCAGGATGGAGAGCTGAGCTCCCCCAGCTGTGGGCACGCAGCCACGAGGGACAGTGCAGGGAAAGGGGACTGGGACTGGAAACTGCTGCTGAAGAGAAACACAGCACAGAAACACAGCACAGCCTGGGGTTTCACACACCTGAGATTGTTTCACAATTCCAGACTCACATTTTACCACACAACCTGCTGAAAAGCAGAGTTCACAGAGAAAAGATGTCCACTTGGACACTAGCACTAATTAATTCAATTACCTTACAAACAGCACATGAAGAAGTAAAATGTAACATCCAACACATACAAGTTTGATAAGAGAAAACCAAACTGGATGCACTATGTCAGCCAAGTTTTCAGTGTTTTCACTGATTGCCGTGAAGGGAATGCTGTAAAAATGCAACTTTTGCATCAAAAATAGAATAATCTTTCTTCCTGAGAATGCCCAAGGATTCCTCTCTTCACTCCTTCCCACTCAGAATTATTTAATTTCTATTAAATAGAAATGTTCTATTCTGGTCAAGAAGCTGATCCTCTGGAGGGCCAGACAATGCCCTGTTCACAGAGGAGAGATTAGTTTCTAATTACTGTCAGTAATTAGTGCTCTCCTGCAGCCAGAGCTGGAATTTCTGTCAGAGCCTGAGCAGCTCCAGAGATCCATTCCAGGCAGGTGGTGCAGCAGACACCTCCATGGTGCCTCCCAAACCCACAGTTGGTGTTTGTTGGATGAGGGCCTGGCCAAGCCTGCTCTGAATCCTTCCCTCTGCAATTAAAACCCTGCAGGGGCAATGCCGGCCCAGAATAACCAGTGCAGCCGAGTGCATCCCTTTGGAATTCCACAAAAGGCACTTTAGAGAGGCTGGCTGCTCGTGCCACAGATCCCACAGAGGGTTTGTGTCGCAGACATTTTTCACAGAAATCCTTTCTTTCAGATTTCTGCGTTTTCTGGGAAGCAAGGTCCCCAGAAAGAGAATGTAAACAATTGTTATCAGCTGCTGTGGAATGCAATAGGATGCACCTTGATTGGTTCATGTTCCCATGTTTATGATTAAGGGCCAGTCACAGGAGCAAGCTGGGGACAGAATCCCTGGACACAACTTTGTTAGAGATTCTTTCTTTCTATTCTTAGCTTAGCAGCCTCTGCAACTTCTCTCTTTATTCTTATTAGTATAGTTATAATGTATTATATATCATATATTAATAAATCCAGCCTTCTGATCAAGAAACAAGACTCTCGTCCTTCTCTCCCCCCCAGCGACCCCCTCAGGATGCTGTAATAGGTTTGCACCTCTCACTGAGCTTTCCTGTGCACGGCCATTCATCAGCTGGTTCTGATTGTCCAGCACCCCCCAATTTCATGCTTGGCAAGTAAAAACAAAAGCGAGTTGCTGAGGAGGGGGCAGCCCGAGTTCAGTTCAGCAGCTGTGTCCCACCCTGGAGCACGAGCACACACAGAGCTGAGGCAGCCCTGGGCTGTGCCAGGGGAAAAGAAACCAAAACCCCTCACACCTCTGGGTTCCGAGCAGGACAACTCTGAGCCACCCCACAGACAGAGGTGTCCCCAAACCAACCTGCTGCTGCCTCACCCTGCTCTGCCACTGCACACAGCACAGGGAATGTTCAGGGCTGGGCACTCCTGATCACACAATCACAAATGGTTTGGGATGGAGGGACCTCAAATCCCACCCAGTGCCACCCCTGCCATGGCAGGGACACCTCCCCCTGTGCCAGGGTGCTCCAACCTGGCCTTGGGCACTGCCAGGGATGCAGGGGCAGCCCCAGCTGCTCTGGGCACCCTGTGCCAGGGAAGAATTTCTCACAGAAAACTCCCACCCCGCTGATCTCCCCGCTCCTAAACCCACTGCTTGTATTTTCCTGAACTCTTTCCCCTTTATTCTTCCATTCCTCCTTTCCCTGGAGTTATCCTCCTGAAAGCTGCAATTCCAATCCCTGATTACAGTACAAAGACAGGCCATAAAAGGCTGCCCAACGTCATGATTCACAAACATTTCACTGCTACATTCACATTCTTTCCTGAAGCCAAATCTATCCTAATTGCAGGATTAGAGGCATTAAGGAAAGGCCACCAAACCGCAGTGACAGAGGGAATAGGCACTGCAGGTCATGGCTCTGAGAGCCCAATCCCTGCTTTATCTAGGAACCAGGACAGAATGGAACATTCTCAAGCAAACACAGCTACTCTGCAAAGGATCAGGGAATGTCCTGAGCTGCAGGGACCCCCAGGGACCCCCCAGTGCCAGCCCTGCCCTGCCCAGAGCCCACCAAGCCCAGCCTGGGCAGCCCTGGCAGCGCTGGCCAAAGGCTGCTGGAGCTGTGGCAGCCTCGGGGCCGTGCCCATTCCCTGGGCAGTGCCAGCACCCTCTGGGCAAGAACCTTTCTCTAAAACCTAACGTAAATCCCTGCAGGCCCAGCCCCAGCTGCTCCCTGGGCCCTGAGGAAGTTTGCAAGGGAAGTTACAGGTGACTACAACAAAAGGTAAAAGAAAGAAGGAAAGATGGTGTGAAGTAACACTCTCCAGAGTTAGCAACGCCCAAAATACAGTTTGATTTAAGAAAATGCATCCATTCCAATATATATTCAGTTAATATCCACAGTTATTGCCTTAAATATCTATTGCCATATAAGCTCCAAACAAAAAGCACTTTGGAGCTGGGCAGTGGGAAGAGATAGAGGACAGAGTGTTTCTTGTTTTAAGGAGGGCCACACCATCCCACCTGGAATGCCAGCTGGTTCACGAACAGGAATTATTTACTAAACAATACTCTCTGATGAGCCATGGAAGCGTTGTCCCTCCATGGCGCTGGAATTCACAAAAAATACCGTTTTCCACAAGCAAACCCCATATTTCACCCCAAATAAAGCAGCAGCTGAACCAGAACAAAAGGGAATATCATGCACAACCGTGCCTGCTCACCGAGCAGAGGCTCACACAGGGACACAGCCCCATCCAGGGACAGGCTTCCTTCCCCCGACACCAGGACAACATTCCCACATTCACTGCCCGCTCCCTGCGCCCTTTGCCGAGCCCTGAGGGACGGCACTGCCCAGGGCTGGCGTTCCAGGCAATGGCATTCCAGGGAACGGCATTCCCGGCCCGGGGCTCTGCCCGCTCCCCGGCTCAGGGCGCAGCGGCGGCCGGAGGCAGCGGGACCAAGGTGATCCCAGCCCGGGATCCCCGCGGCGGCGGCACCGCACCCGCTACGGGCACGGCCGGCCCCAGGAGGGGCGCAGCATCGCTCACCGCCCGCCCCGGGAGGCGAGGGCAGGAGCCGGCCCCGGCACCGCGACACGCCCGGGCACCGTGAGGGGCTGAGGCGGCGCTGCCCCCCCGCCGGCCTGGGCTGAACGGCCGCCGCTCGCAGCCCGCGCCCCCCGCTGCCCCCGTCCCGCCGGGCCGTACCTCATGTCTGTGCGGGCCCTACTCACAGCCCCGGCCGCGGCCAGGGCACCGAGGGGCCGGAGGGGCCGGAGCGGCGCCCGCAGCCGCCTCCGCCGGACGCGCCATCGCCGCCCTCGCCCCGTCTGAGGGGAGGGGGGAGGAGCCCCTCGCGGCCGCCGTACTGACGCGCGGCCGCGGCCCCCGCGTGACGGACAGGGAACATCACCAATCAGAGCTCGCTAAGGGGGCGGAGCCCCACGGCCTTCGGCCTATCAGAGCTCTGACAACCCCTCTCTGACGCGCGACCTCCGCCCGCCCCCCGCGTGACGAGCAGGGCGCTGTACCAATCAAAGGCCGGAACAGCTGCAGGATCCCGCCTCCCCGACCAATCACGGCCGTGGCAGGCTGAGGGACCAGCGCTCAAGGTGCGGTGCGGGGCCTGTGCTGTGCATACGGAGTTAACTCATGGGGTAACCGCAGGCGGCGTCTCCTCCCTCTCCCCGGCGGTGTCCCACAGGTAGCGCCGGGCGCCTCCCTCCTCACCTCATTGAATGAGTGACATCCGCGCGAGCCAATCCCGCCTCGGCTTTCACGATGAATGGCGGCCACTATGACCAATCGCAAGCGCTCAGGGTGCTGCTCGATTCTATGATTGGTTGCAGGACGGGAAGGCGGTGCCTGAGGGCGAGGCGGAAGTGAGGGAGTGTCATGGCAACCGCGGGCGCGTCGCGGCGCTCGGGAGTCCCGCGGAGCCGCTGAGGGCCGGGCGGGGCTGCGGGAGCCTCTCGGTGCGGGCCGGGTTCACTCGGAGCCGCTGAGGGATCCCCGGGGCTGCCGGAGCCTCTCGGTGCGGGCCGGGTTCACTCAGAGCCCCTGAGGGTCCCCCGGGGCTGCCGGAGCCTCTCGGTGCGGGCCGGGTTCACTCGGAGCCTCTGAGGGATCCCCGGGGCTGCCGGAGGCTCTCGGTGCGGGCCGGGTCCGTTCGGGTCCCCTGAGGGCTCTCCGGGGCTGCCGGAGGCTCTCGGTGCGGGCCGGGTTCTCTCCCCGGGGGTGGCGGGGCGGGTCCGACGTGCGGGGGTCTCGGGTGCTCCCTCAGGGGTCAGAGCTGTAATGGTGCCATGGGTTCCTGCCTCTCTACCCCCTGCTTTCCCTTTTCCTTGTTAACTCAATTTTACTATTTGGTTGTTTGTGGTTTTTTCCCTTTCTAAAGGTTCCTGTTCGTTGAGGACCACACGGGAGAGGAGAGGCCAAGTAGGAGAGGAGCTGGGAAAGCCAAGTGGTGATTTTTGGGGAAATCTCGTGTAAGTTTTGCTGTATTCCTGCCCAGGAGTTCCCTGTGCAGTGCCCCGGTGTGAGTTGTGTGGCACAGAGCCCCTGCACTGCCCCCCAGTAAATCCTGGGTGCTGCAGGGCCTGTTCTGCTGTGCCCAGAGAGCTGCAGAGGGACTGGGGACAAGGATGGAGGGACAGCACCCAGGGAATGGCTGCCAGTGCCAGAGGGCAGGGCTGGGTGGGATCTTGGCAATGAGGAATTGTTCCCTGGCAGGGTGGGCAGGCCCTGGCACAGGGTGCCCAGAGCAGCTGGGGCTGCCCCTGCATCCCTGGCAGTGCCCAAGGCCAGGCTGGGCACTGGGGACAGTGGGAGGTGTCCCTGCCATGGCAGGGGTGGCACTGGGTGGGATTTGAGGTCCCCTCCCAACCCAAACCAGTCTGGGATTCTGTGATCCTCTCTCCTGAGGATTTTCTCTGTTATGGGCATCTAAACCTGTTGATCTGGTTTAGAGCTTCTGTATCACAAAGACTCAAATTGCCTGAAAACAATGCCTGTGATTCTTATAGAGTAATTTAATTTAATTTAATTTAATTTAATTTAGCAGGGCTGTAGTGCCTTGTTTGCCAGAGCCCCTGCAGCTGTCACAGTTTGGTTGCTGTGTTTTTCAGGTCACTATGAAGGCTCTGTATGCTCAGCAGAATTCTCCTGGGGAGGAGATGACATTTGTGTTCCAGGAAAGGGTGAGCTCCCTTCAGAACTGCTCTGGCCCTCAGGCAGTGGGACAGGAGAGCTTGGCTCGCTGCCATGGGGGAATTGAGGCACAGAAATCTTGCACAGGCTTGGGAAGGACTGCTGGGATCCTTGCACACACAGGCAGGGAAGGAGGGGAGGGGAGGGAGGTGCATTTTGTCATCAGGCAGCACTGCCAAGAGTTCTGCTGGATTGCTCTGCGGTTTTGGTGTTCAGACTTTACAAACAAGCTTTGCAGGCATGAAAAACAAACCCTGGGGGCACATTTCCTGAATTTTCTATTCCCTGAAAAAGTAGAAATAGAGCTTGAGGAATCTATCAGGTTTGGGGTGAGAACTCCAGTTCTTACTGGGGTTGTTCCTTTGACATCATTTGAACTTTGTCTGGGACTTCAATGTTGACCTCAGTGGGTTTGTCAGGATTTGTGCCTCAGATAAAGTGAAATAAAACCTCAACAGAAAAATAATGTCAGTGGGTGATGAGGTTTAGTAAGGTCTGGTGGTCAGTTTTCAATACTAATACTAATACTACTACTAATAATATCATCTTAATATAGTAATGTTAAATAGTAATATAGTATAGTAATATATATTTTTATATATAATATCATATACTATATAATATATAATATATATAATATATATAATATATATAATATATTATATAATATTATATGTTATATATTTTATATATAATATACATTGTATATTATATTATATACATAATATAATATAACATAATGCAATGTAATGTAATATAACATAATGTAATGTAATATAATAATAATATAATATAATATAATATAATATAATATAATATAATATATAATATACCAGTTTGCAATAATAGTATCATGCTAATGCTGATAATAATGATAATGATAATGATAATGATAATAATAATAATAATAATAATAATAATATACTCAAAAAATGGTGTTGTAAACCCCTTTTCATTGACAATTCCTGCCTGCTCTCCCCACAAAACAACCCAGGAAGAGGAGAAGTGCTTTCAGGAGCTGGAGAAGCTCCTGGGGGCACGTGCAGTGTGTAACAGGGAGCTGTCTGTCTGTCCTAGGAGAACCTTCCTCCCAGCAGAGCCCACGATGTGAAGGTGCAGGTCAGAGCCTGTGCTCTGAGCAGGGTGGACACACAGGTATTTGCTATTTGTTTGTGTGTTTTGCTGGGGGTGTCTGTGCTCCCATGGCCTTGGCTGGGGGCTGGCACGAGCTCAGGCTGTGCCTTTGCTGCTGGCAGTGGGCACAGAACTTTTTAGGGGTCTCCCCATCAGGGGAATCCTCGGGGAAGGTTTCCACAGGCACAGGACTGGGCTGGGCTTCTTGCACAGCTCTGATTGAAAAGCATCTGGAATTTGATTCCTAATTCATGGAGATCAGTTGTCAGCTGAGATCTCTTACAGTAAATCCCTTTTGTCTTCATCTAAGCCACAGGCTGGCTTGGCTGGTAGTAACTCCCTGCTTTTATTTTTTAATGTTTCTAATTTTAAATACAGAATTCAGTGCCATGGTTTAATACTGGGGAAGGTGTGCACTTCCTTCCCCTGGATAACATTTTGGTAATGGCCCAAGCTTCCTGAGATGATCCAACACTGTGAGATGTAATTCATTTATAAATGCAGAGCTTTAGCAGGAATGCTGCCAGCATTGTTTTCATTTAGCTCCTGGCAGAAATCAAACTGAAGAAGGAACTTGTGCCTGTTGGGAGAGAAATTTCAGGAGTGGTGCTGGAAGGTGAGTGGGTGGCAGTGCCCAGGGAGGGAGGAGGGAGCAGGGATTCCCCTCAGAGCCCAGAACTCTCTCTGGAGAGCTTTTTGGAGCTCTTGGCTTCCTTAGCTGCTCCCAGTGCTGGTACCACTCCCCTGAGGTGGAGAGTCCAGCCTGGCTCTCAGACACCCCTGTGTGCTCCTGCAGGGAGCTCCTTGTGCCAGAGTCTGGGAATTCAACATTTGGGCTTGGCATCAAGAATCAATCAATAATTGTAATCAACAGAATTATGGTTTTCCACAAGGAATGTGTGTCTTTAGTTTTGTGAGCTAGTGATAACCAGTGCTTCCAAATGCACATCCCATTCCTGCTCTAAATATTTCTCTTCTTCCCTTCTTCCCTCCTTTTCACCTCTCCCTGGTGAGTTGGAAGCAAGGTGACCTTTTTCCAGCCAGATGATGAAGTGGTGGGTAAGTTAATGCCCGTTTGCCTCAGCTGACACCAGCAGTCATCTTTTTATAATCAATGACTGAGCTTAGAATAATTGGTCAGGCTAAATCCACCATGTATTTTCAAAATTGAACTGCTGTCACAGGAACAAACTTATAAATGGGAATTCTGTTCTAAGAACGTTCCCTTAGGATGTGAAATATGATGTTGTGTTAGCCACCAAATTGTGAGTGATGCCTTAGGAGAGAGGAGTTATTTCTTAGAGCATTCTGTGCCACATGTTTATGTTTTGTGCTGGGTGAAGGGATTAGAGGATGGCTGAAGTTCTGAAAGCAGGACAGAGTGGAGGTGCTGGGGACAGTGTGTGTTGGGGCATTGTGGTCCTTGCTGCATTATTCCCTCATGGCACAGCAGCTGCTCTGGGCAGAGTCTGGGGTCTGGCTATTCCCTGCAGGAACCCTGGGCACAGCTCCAGGTGGGCACAAGCACATTGTTAATGGAACTGGGAAGGACTGGGCACAGTTCCAGGTGGGCACAAGCACATTGTTAATGGAACTGGGAAGGACTGGGCACAGCAGCCACATTTGCAAGGCAAAGCCCTTTGGTCTAAATGGAGTGAGATTTGTGGGGGAGAGGGCAGAAAAGAATGGTTTTCCCTGGGATGGAGGGGATGCTAATTCAGGAGATGGAGCCAGAACCTCCTGTTCAGGAGAGTTCTGTGCCCAGTGAAGGTAAAAAGCTCAGCTATAACCAGGATGGAGGGGCTTTTCCTGCCTACTCTGCTTTTGCTCTCTCTGCCTTCCCTGGTTAGTTTGTTTTTCCTGCACTTCCTCTGTCTTATTCCTGCTTTTTGAAACTTCCACATTCCTGTGTGCCCACCTTCTGTTTTTTCCTGTGCCCTTGGTGCTGCCTTTGCAGAGCACAGGGTCAGGAACTGTGATGGGAGAGGAGCTGTGGGGAGGCTGCTCTGTGCTCAGATCCCTGCTCTGGCATCCATGGCCTGCACTGGAAGGGGAGCACTCAGAGTGTGGAATGAGCTCAGACAAAAACGTCTGACACCTGCCAGCACCAGACAGCACTCTGTGGTGTCCCCATGCTTTCTCCCTCAATCCCAAAATGCTGTGGAAGCACCCCTGGAACTCCCTTGTGCCCAGGGACACCTCGGGCTGGGACCTGGCCAAGGTCTCTGACCTGTCCCAAACCTGCCAAGAGGGCACTGAACCCAAACAGGAGCAGGGAATTCCTTGGGACAATGCTTTGCTTGGAAAGATTGCTTGTGTGAAATTCAAGGTCTGCGTTCCTTCTTTTCCAGGAATTCTGCCCCTGGATTCTGAGGAGTCTGGTGTCTGTGAAGTTGTCCTGGTTCACGAGCATTATTTGGGTTTGTAAATTATAAATTTTGCTAATAATAATTTTTACTGTAGACTTTCTTGTAGCTTTTCTAAAGGGGACCCCATTACCTTGGAGCTCTGGGCGTGCTCCTTTCATTCCAACATTCCAAAATTCCAGCTGCCCCACAAATCACAGAAGTTTGAACACTCAAGGGCTTTTTCTCTGCTGTCACCATTTATGATGGCCTAAACCACATGAGCTGACCCTGGGTTTTTCCTTTTCCTTTTATTTCCCTTCTAACTTCCTGTTCTGTTGCTTCATTGTTGTTATACTTTTTCCTAACCTGTCAAAAAATGTAATGAGGAGAAATTTGCTTTTTTCTTCCCTTTGACTCAGTCTGGGACTATCACCTGGGACCAGACTAACACATGGGGTGAAACAAGGAGACGGGAATTTTCAGGGATAGGCCAGTATTGAAATATTATTTTCAATTATTGTGAGCTTCCAGTTTTCCCTTTCTGGACATAGATTACTTTAATGAGCAGGATACTAAATGTGGGAGTCCCTGTTCTTCTTCCAACAATTTGTTACCTTGAACAAGTTATTCTTTTACTCAAAATTTGCTCTTCCCAAAGAAACTGTGGCTGCCCCATCCCTGGCAGTGCCCAGGGCCAGGTTGGACAGGGCTTGGAGCAGCCTGGCACAGTGGAAGGTGTCCCTGCCATGGCACTGGATGGGCTTTGAGGTCCTTCCAACCCAAACCACCCTGAGATTCTAAATGCCTAAGTTTGGGTTGTGTTTTCTGTGACTGCCATGAATTCCTGAGTAGTTATGTGGTGGCTCCCTTAATCTTGGTTATATCAAAGTTGAATCCCTAATTTAATTTTGTAAAATATGGCACAATATCCTCTCCATGGCTTCTTAATACAAGAGGAAACAGGAGCCAGTGGTGCTGACCTGTTTGCAGGGGGAGCCTTCCTGACTCACTGTGACAGCTTTTGCTAAATAATCCCAGGGGTTTTGCTGGGGTTTTTACCACCTCTTTGCTGTGTTTGTTGGTGTGTGTGCTGTTACATTTTAGTTAAGTAGTTTGCTCTGTCTCACCCCTAGAAAATGTAGGGTTTATAGCAAGCCTGTGATCCTCCCCTGCAGTATCAGTTAATCCTGTTGGCCCAGGTCTGATTCTGTGCCCACCTTGAATTTCCCTTTTAAGCTGTGCCAGGGGAGTGAGTGAGAGGCTCTCTCATCTCTTTGCCCCTTCTCTCCCCAGGCTCTCCCTCTTCCCCTTCTCCCTCAGGAACCCTGCTGCTCCCAGGGGTGGGACCCCCAATAAACCCTCAGCTAACGAGCACCCCCAGAATCCATGTGGAGTCTCCTTGCCTGTCTGCTGCTCCCAGTAAACATGTTGTCTCATATAGCAAGAGTTCTATGATCATTATAGTGCAAGGATTCCATATCACCAGACTTTCATACCTCCTCAATGGTTCCCACAGGCAGCTCCTCTAAGCACTGACTGTTCCTGGTCCTTGCAGCAGCCATCTGACTCCACATCCCACCAATCCTCTCTTTTATACCACTGTTCTTATTGGCTACAGCTGTGGCCTGCTAAGATCAGGCCTGCTCCTAATCTTTAGTAATTGGTTCAGCTGCAACTCTTTGGGGGATAAGATTACATTCTATACCACCTTCATTTACCTACATGAACACACAGCTTAGGGGGCTCCCAGGGGTCCCCAGAGGAGCTGATCAGGTGTGTTTGTGATTGTGTGTGTTTGTCCCCCAGCTCACAAGCCCCAGAAGCTGTGCTGGGCAGTGCACACAGCTCAGGGGGCTCTCAGGGATCCCAGAGGAGCTGATCAGGTGTGTTTGTGTGTGTTTGTCCCCCAGCTCACAAGCCCCAGAAGCTGTGCTGGGCAGAGCACACAGCTCAGGGATCCCCAGAGGAGCTGATCAGGTGTGTTTGTGTGTGTTTGTCCCCCAGCTCACAAGCCCCAGAAGCTGTGCTGGGCAGTGCACACAGCTCAGGGGGCTCTTAGGGATCCCAGAGGAGCTGATCAGGTGTGTTTGTGTGTGTTTGTCCCCCAGCTCACAAGCCCCAGAAGCTGTGCTGGGCAGTGCACACAGCTCAGGGGGCTCTCAGGGATCCCAAAGGAGCTGATCAGGTGTGTTTGTGTGTGTTTGTCCCCCAGCTCACAAGCCCCAGAAGCTGTGCTGGGCAGAGGCTGCAGGCACGCTCCGGGACGGGCTCCGCGCGTACACGGCCCTGCACTACCTGGCCCCGGTGTCCCCTGGCACCAGTGTCCTCGTCCTGGATGGAGCAAGTGTGGGTACCTGGGCTCACACAGCCCCCTTTATCACACAGCCCCTGGTTCTGGGAGTGCTGGCAGTGCCCTTCCTTTCCTGGCTTTGCAGGAAGGGCTGTCCCGTGTGGGATCCTGATCCTGAGCAGGGATATTGTCCTGCCTGGGGTGGGGGTGCACACAGGGAGGGTGTGCTGGTGTCCTGCACTGACACAGGGATGTCCTGAGTCCTCAGGGGTAACTGCAGGAAAATGCCTTATTTTTTAGTCCTCTCCCACCTCTGCTTTTTACCTTTTCTTGAGTATAAATAATGTGATTTGCATCCCTGCAGTTCTTGGTGCTAATGAAGATGTGGGGTTCCCTCAGCCAAGGTTCTGTAATGTAAACATGGCTGGGGCCTTTTCCTTGGAGCTTTTTTCCCTTCAAGCTCTGAATTCCAGCTGCTGTGGTAATTAAAGTAGAATCTGAGCTATTTTATTGATGACAAGTACCACCAGTTACTGACCAAAAGTTCATTCAGAGCTTCCCAGTCACTGAAAAGTTGTTCTGGCCTCACTTAGGACAGAAGCAGATCTGTGAATATTCAGTTCTTGGTTCAGCTGTGGGGTTTTTGCAGGAGTAAGTTCATTTCTGGGAATTCTCCTGACTGGCCTTTACAATGTAATTGTTCTTAACATTAAATTGTTGGTGTAAATAAATGAATTAATTAATTAATCAATGACCTTCCTTTTCCCCTCTCAGCCATTTGGTACCATTGCAATTCAGCTGGCCCAACACAGAGGGGCCAAAGTCATCTCCACTGCCCACAGCCTGGAGGACAAGCAGTACCTGGAGAGGCTCAGGCCTGCTGGGGGTGAGTTTTATCCTTCAGGGCTGAAGTCTGGCCTAAAGAATGTCTCAAAATATTTTTTCTGTCAGGTCTAGAGACTAAGGTCTGTAAAAATGAAACACAAATTGATAAATAGTCTAATTAAACAGTTTTCAGGTTTGTTCTGTGCTCCACAGGTGTTTAATTTCTGGTTTAGGTGTGCTTAATGGCATTTTAATTGTCCATTTCAGTGGTAATGAGTGGCAGTACTGCCCAGCAGTGCTGAGTGCTGGCTTTTGGCCCAAGTGCTCAGGAAATCTGTCCATGTGATGGAGTGGTTGCTGTGCAGGGAAGGATTGCTGACTCACCACACCCAGCCTGTGCCAGAGCTCACACACTGACACCCAGCACCCAGCCCCTCACATTGTGCTGCCAGGGCTGCTCAGGTGTCAGGGCTGCCCCGGCTGGGGCTGCACCTGCACAGGCTCTGCATTCTCTGCCTTCCCAAGCAGCTTGGCCTCACACACAACACTTGCATTCTTCCCTGACTTCCCTTTCATACTTCAAGTTTGGGTTTTTTCCCTCTGAAAACAACATGAGAAGATACTCTGTGTAAGAATCTTTTCTGACCAAAATTTTGATGGTGTTTTGTGGAGGGAAGTGGAATATTCCTTTATTCTGACAGTTTGAAAATAAAGAATGGATTGTCAGTCTGGCTGGATGGCAGCAAAAGGTTAAAACTGGTGCCTGCTCCTTCCTCCTGCAAGTACCAAGTGCTGCAGTGTGATTGCCAGGTTTGTTTTGCAGAGTATGGTTTGTGTTGGCCTTCACTGGAGCTACAGAGCTGGAGATGCCTTTGGGGGAGCCTTGTCAGCCCCATCTGTGGTTACAGCTGCAGCCCCACTGCACCCCAGGGCTGCCTCTGCAGCACCTGCCAGACTCATCTCTCTGCAGCTTGAGAGCGACACTTTTTTTTAAGGCAATTTGACCCAAAAACCCCTATTTTTTTCCTGATTTCAGCAGCCTTTTTTTCTGTCTCTATGTTTATTTATTTTACTGCACTAGCTGTTGTGACACACATCAGAACTGGAAGATTTTTGGGAATGCTGTTGCTGTGCAGAGCCTTGTGGCACCAGCTGTTACAGGGCCAAAGAGGAAAGAAGACCTAAAACTTCCTTTTGTAACATTTTATGGGTACATTTTGCTAATTATCTGAAAAATTCATGAGCTAGGAGAGGATTTGGCAATTTTATTCTCATAGTCCTGAGAACTTTTTACAGCATTTTAAAGTTTTTGAATGTTAATGTCAAATAGAGCATAAGTAACCCAAGGTCTAATTGGCTTCTTGTGTTTGTGGGTGGTGAATTTTCAGTTTTGTGCTTGTTCAGTGGGTTTTTGGTTAGTTTTGGGCAGTTTTCAATGAACAGCAATTTGTGTTATCATTGTTGAGCATACCAAGCTGCTTCCTGGAATGGCTGAGGGGGAAAAGTGATAACTGCAACTTTATTTCAAATAAAGAAATAGAACCTGGGTGCAGCGTTGAAGAGAGACACAGCTTGAGTGCAAAAGCAAAAAGCTTTTAAAAGTGTTCAGACTTTCTGATTTGTTTGTTAATTAATGTGATTCCAGTGCCTGAAGCAGAAGTTCTGGTAATGCTTCAGGATTTGTATTTAGACCAACAGGATGGGGCTTTTTTTGTCTTTAGTAATCCCTGGAGTAAAAGTTATAATAGAATGAAGGAGGGGATTTTAACAAGTTTTGACATTTTAATGCCTGTGTTTGAGGCTGGAGACAGAATATTCCATAAGCAATGGGATGAGTTTCTGTCAGAGAACCCAAGGAAAGGATCTGCACATGCACAGATATTTCCTCTGCTCCCAAGGGCACCTCCTGCTTTTGCTTGTTTGCTTTGTGAGGTTTTATTCTGTGCCACCAGCACTGAGCTCTGTTTAGAACCCCCCAGAGCAAACTCTGGGGAAGGCTGTGGGATCCTGGGGTTTCTGTGCCCCCAGCAGTGGAGGAGGAGAGGAACTGAAGTTTTGCCAGTCAGAAAAATCTTACTTTGGAAGCTGTGCAAGTCCCAGCAGAAGAAACTGAACTCATTTGTCAGTATTTTGTGAGAAATACATAAATGACAAAGGATTATGGAAAGTTATATTACAGTTTGTTGCTTGGCCTTTTCCACAATGGTGAGAAATTTTTCCAGTATTTTTTAGGAAGGAAGCTGACCAGGATTTTGATAAGTACTGTTTGAACTATTGTGCTGAGTTAAGGAACAAAACTGGACATTTTTGCTATACAGAAATCAGAAAATAGTCACAATGGTGGAACTCTGGCCTTTTCTTTTTGATTGCCAGGCTTTGGGTCTATGAAACCAAAATTATTTTCAAAAAGTGAAATTATTTGCAAAAATAATGCCATGTCAAATTGCCCTGGTAAAGAAAACCTTTTAAATTGTTGATTGAAGAAAACTAAGAAGAAAAGGATATTATGGGGGTTTAGTTACATAGGGGGAATGTGGCTACCATTAATAATTAATTATTATCCCATCTTTAGTAAATTTTGGCAGTGAAATCATTTGACTTCAGTGAAAAAAAAAGAAGGAATTACTTGGGATTTGAATGCATCCTATGATTAGATCAGGGATTTGAAGGGACAAAAAGACCCAAACTCAAGGCATTTATTGCTGATTTGTTAATATCCTTAATGACCAGCTCTTTGCATTTTTTCTTCCCTCCCTCCTTCCTCCCCTCCCTGCTGGGATCCCACTCCAGGAGTGCGGCAGCCTTTGGTGGGTGAGTGCAGAGCTGAGCTCAGGCTCCACATTTGGCTGATGTTCTTTCAGTTCTCATTTTGCTGTGGGATTTTTTGCCTGTTTAGTTTCTAAATGTTTGTTCTACCTCATAATGATGAAACAAACCCTATGGCTGCTCCTTCTCTGTGTTATTGTTATAATGTTAAAAATGGCTTTTACCTGAAAGAGGGCAGGGCTGGATGGGATGTTGGCAATGAGGAATAGTTCCCTGGCACAGGGTGCCCAGAGCAGCTGGGGCTGCCCCTGCATCCCTGGCAGTGCCCAAGGCCAGGCTGGGCACTGGGGACAGTGGGAGGTGTCCCTGCCATGGCAGGGGTGGGATGGGATCCTTAAGGTCCCTCCCAACCCAAACCATTCCAGGATTCTCTCATTCCTGATTCTGTGTTTCCTCTTTATAACCAACCATAATCAGGGCATCATAGATACATGACAGGAAAATGTGTTGGTGGCTTTCAGTTCAGCAATATTTGAAGAGCAGATGTAAATCCTTCATCTAAACATTTAATGAAAGACCCAGAGAGCCAGGAGTTGGACAAGAATAGCAAAAAATGAACTTAGAGAAGGATTTGCCACATTTTATCCTTTTGGGCCAACAAACTCATGAATTAACTCTGCATTCATACTTTTGGTGTTGATTTTGCACTGTGTTGAAAATGACAAAAAGAGAAAGATGTGCCAGGTGTTTTGGGTGTAGCTGCAAACCCGTTTGTGGTACCTGCAGAGAGCAGAAACCTCGTGCGCTGCTCGGGATCTGAGCTCTCAGCTGTGAGCACCTGAACTCCTTTTCCATGGCTCTGAGGTGGTTTTTGCTGCTGTCCTGCTCTGGCAGCCCGGGTGATCGATGTGTCCCACGGGAAGATCGATGTGGCCGAGAGCTGCCTGGAGGAGACGGGCGGGCTGGGCGTGGACATCGTGCTGGATGCCGGAGGTACGGGGGCGCTCCTGCCTTGTGATTTCAGGGCTCATCATTCCCCGATAATTCCCTGCCGGGGGTGGCAGTCACCTCTCCTTTCCCCTCCCAGCGCTGTCTGTCAGTCCTGGCATTCCAGAGGGGCTTGAGTGATTGGCAGATTCAAAGGGTGGGAGCATTGGCCCATCCAGGTGTCCTTTGTCCCTTTGTCCCTCCCCTCCTGTCCCTGCTTGGTGGCTCCCTGCCCCTTCCCTGCCCTCTCCCCGGGGTTAAAGGAGCAGCAACCACGGGCCCAGGGAGTTCTGTGGGAGCTGGTGCTGCATTCAGAGGCCTGTGGGCCAGGAGAAAGCTCTGGATCCAAACCCTCCATCAGAACCCACTCCTTTCCTTCACCATCGCCTCAAAGCTTCTCCACAGAGGGAAACCTGAGGAGCAGCCCCTGTTATGGGGGAAGCTCCATCCCAGCACCACCAGAGCTTCTGCAGGCCTGGCCTTGTCCCCACGGGCCCAGCTGCAGCACCCAGCCAGCCCAAAGTGTCTGTGGGGTGAAACACCGCACACCCAGCCAGCCCAAAGTGTCTGTGGGGTCAAACACCACACACCCACAGCCAAAAGTGTCTGTGGGGTGAAACACCACACACCCAGCCAGCCAAAAGTGTCTGTAGGGTGAAACACCACACACCCACAGCCAAAAGTGTCTGTGGGGTGAAACACCACACACCCAGCCAGCCAAAGGTGTCTGTGGGGTGAAACACCACACACCCACAGCCAAAAGTGTCTGTGGGGTGAAACACCACACACCAGCCAGCCCAAAGTGTCTGTGGGGTCAAACACCACACACCCACAGCCAAAAGTGTCTGTGGGGTCAAACACCACACACCCACAGCCAAAAGTGTCTCTGGGGTGAAACACCACACACCCACAGCCAAAAGTGTCTGTGGGGTGAAACACCACACACCCAGCCAGCCAAAAGTGTCTGTGGGGTCAAACACCACACACCCACAGCCAAAAGTGTCTGTGGGGTGAAACACCACACACCCAGCCAGCCAAAAGTGTCTGTGGGGTCAAACACCACACACCCACAGCCAAAAGTGTCTGTGGGGTCAAACACCACACACCCAGCCAGCCCAAAGTGTCTGTGGGGTGAAACACCACACACCCAGCCAGCCAAAAGTGTCTGTGGGGTCAAACACCACACACCCACAGCCAAAAGTGTCTGTGGGGTCAAACACCACACACCCACAGCCAAAAGTGTCTGTGGGGTGAAACACCACACACCCACAGCCAAAAGTGTCTGTGGGGTCAAACACCACACACCCACAGCCAAAAGTGTCTGTGGGGTCAAACACCACAGTGCCACTATTTGGTCCAGCACCAAGGGCCAGACAAGCTCAGGCACATCCCATCCAGTTATATTGGTGATATTCCAATGCCTGGCAATGGCATCCCCTCATTGCCAGAGCTCCTCTGGCACCCACTGCTGCCTGCCAGCACCTCCCAGGCAGCTGCTGAATGGGGCTGAAATAGTCCTGTCTTTGAAACTGGAAATTAAAAATGGCTCTAGAGAGTTCGCTGCCTTGTTTGAATACAGAAATTAACCCTAATTAATTAACAGCACTGTCAACCTCTATTGGAAACCAACTCTAATAGGTGAAATCCCTGAACTATTTAGAGTTATGTAAATAAAATATCATTACATATACTATTATACTAGATATTTTTGATATATATATATATATATATATATAATATTGCTATTGTATTATATTCTATATTCTATATTCTATATTTTATTATATAACATACTGCTGATATATATTTATATATAATAGTATATAAGTATATAATACTGTCTAAATATATAATAGTATCTAGATGTATAATTTGTAAATTTAAATTATATAATAATTTACATTATATATACTATAATAGATATAGTATAATATACTATATTTTATAGTTATAGTTGTTTTATACATTATGCATTAAGTTATATATACTATAGATTATAAATATATCTTATATATAGTATATTATGTATAGTATACAATATTATGTGTAAGATATACTATTATGTTATATACTATATAATACAGTATAATATATGTAATATCCTATATTATAGTATATATATTATATAGTATATATTATAGTATACTCCAATATAGTATAATATAGGTAATATACTGTATTACAGTCTATATTGTTACTATACAGTATTATGAATATGAATATAAACAAAATATTCCTCTGAATAGTAACTTCAGAGCTATTATATTATTCTGAGTAAAGTATATAAATACTCAGGGTATAAATGAGATAATAAATTCAGAATTTTCAACCATTTTTAGCTGAAACAACAAAAACCTCAGAGTTCCACTGAAAGGTGTGGCAATAAATACAAATTGAATTTTGCACATTTTCTGCTGAGCTCAGGAATTTGTTGTCCCTCCCAGTGAGGCTGTACAGTGCTGAAGATGAACCAGCTTCCAGGTGCCAGCTGCTGCCTCACAAGCACGACATCATCACCCTGCTTGGGGTTGGGGGCCGCTGGATAACCACTGAAAGGAACCTGCAGGTAAAGGTGCCTGTGCAGGGAGGAGCTTGTCCCACAGAAAACAGACATACAGACACATGAAACTGTTGTTTCAGCCTGTCAGTGTTACGAGTTTCCTCTCTTTTAAGAGTGGGCAAGGGGTGGTTTTTGTTTGGTTTAACCATCTCTATAAAATAACCATTTAACCTTTGTATTTGTATGGGAAAATGTAACTAAATAACATTTTTCTTCAATTTGCTTCAGCTGGATCCTCCAGACAGCCATTCCTTGTTCCTTAAGGGAGCCACAGTGTCCTTCCTGAACGAGGAGGTGTGGAACTTGTCCAATGTGCAGCAGGGGAAGTATCTCGATATCCTTTGGTGGTGTTGTGGAACTCTCACTCTCAAAGGAATGAAAACACAGCTGGGAAATCCCACTGAGAGGTTCTCCTGTGCTCAGTGCTGCAACCCAGCTGGAAGGTGGAGATAACAGATGAGAGACACTCAGGTTTTAAGGTATTTTCTGCATTCCTTTTAAATTCATTGTGGAATCCCACACTGGTTTGGGTTGGAAGGGACCTTGAAATTCATGCAGTGCCACCTTCCACTGCCCCAGGCTGCTCCAAGCCCAGGTGTCCAACCTGGCCTTGAAAATGTCTCTACAAACTTCATTAAAAGCAGTGCTGCAAAACACCATTCTGGGAAAAAAACCACAGTGTTTTGGTTCATTATTGAACCAATTAATTGAAGATTTGACTCTATATGTTTTTATTTTATGCAAGTGACATTTTGGATTTTTTTTTCATTGTTGTGCTTTTGGGCATTAGATGAATCACCTGTAAACTTAATGCACTCATGTTCACTGCAAAAGTAGAATTATTTTGAGCCTCCTTTATTGTCAATGTACAGAAATATTATGTACAGAAAATGTACTGATTTGTTTTGTACATGAAATTTATGGAGGCACAATGTTGGTTGGGAACAGGAGAAGGAATATCTCCTACATTTGAGCTGGTGCAGCTGGACTGAGCTCCCTGGGCAGGATATTTTCAGCCCTGGAAGGTTTGGGTACTTTTGGCTTTAGGAACTTGTGTATCTTGTGAAATTCTGGAGCATCTGGCATTACCGTCATCTGAAGAAATCACAAATTGATCACTTTTTAAAAGAACTTTAGCTTCAAGTATCAGCCTGATTGCCCTTAAAATGAAGGATGAACCTTGTTTGGGTTTCATACCCATACAATAAATAAATAAATACAGCCCCATGTATTGGGCTGTCTTGGCTGGTGTCATTAACTCACAGACCCCTCACAAGGCAGTGTGCTCCAAGAATTCCCAGCCTCTGCTGTGTTCCCAGCTCCATTTTGGCTTTTTATCAGGTATGCCTGTATATGAACAGTCACAACAGCTGCCTGGTCCCAAAATCTGTTCTCTTCATTCTGCACAAAAAGTGCCATTGATTAATGATTGATTGATGTTGTACTAGTGCAGGCTGCACTTGTGTTTCATATTGAAATACTGAAGATTTTCATATTGAAATAATTGAAATATCCCATATTTCATTTCTGCATCCTCTTTCAGAAAAGGAGGTTTCTGATATAGAAACAAGTGCAAAAAATCTGATCTAAAGCCTGGAATTGAGGTTCATTTTGCCTTGATCTTGCTGAGTTTGTATCAGTACAGGGCTGTGACCAGCACATGTGATTATAAAGAGATTTCTCTCCAGCTTTATTGTTCCTTAACAGTCCTCTTGGATACCCATCCTGGAAGATATCATGGACAAATTATCAAATGGCATTTTCAGGTGAGAGATGTGGTGTTATCTTATTGCAGGGGTTCCATGCTGTTATCTCCTTATCACAAAAGTTTCACACCTTCTTGGTGTTTCTCAAGGTCATCTCCTCAGAGCACTGACTCTTTCTCCTTCACAAAGCAGCCAACCAACTCCAGTTCCCTTCCCAACACCACCCCACTCTTTTATAGCACACTGCTTCTCACTGGGTACAGCTCTGGCCCGTTAAAGTCAGGTCTGTTCCTGATCTTTGATAATTGGCCCAGCTGCAGCTCCTTAGGGGTGAGATTTCTTTCTACACTATCTTTATTTTCTTATATTCTATCCCCCTGCAATGTGGAGATTTTTGTGGGTTTTTAAATTCAGCATTAGAAGCAGAAAACTCTGGCCAGCACTAACACTCCTGAGCAGAGCTTCAGGGAGTTATAGGAAGATTCCCATAGTAAGGTGGGAATGGGAGATCCCTTCCCTTAAAGCAGGATAACAACTGCTGCTGAGCAGAACCCTCCTCACCACCCCTTTTTCCCCTGCAAGAAGGATCTCTTTTCATTTATTTGGGGCTCCTGTTTGCTCTGGGGCTTTTCCCTTCTTCTGTGCACTGGAGCAAAGCCATAAGCCTGTTACTTTGTGTGAGGAGGGAGGCTGGCACAGTGAAAGTAAAGTCTGTCCTGTGATATTTCTGTGGGCTGAGTGTGCTCACCAGCACTTTTTACTGTTTCATTTCAGGCCTCAGCTGGATGAACCCATCCCATTGTATGAAGCCAAAGTTTCCATGGAAATAGTTCAGAAGAATCAAGCAAGGAAGAGACAAGTCATCCAGTTCTGACACACAACTTCTGATTTCTCAGCTGGGAAAGATAAAGAAATGTATTTGTGGAATAAATCAGTGTACACTTGCAGGCAGTGAACAGAATTTAAACATTCTTTGTACCTCAGCTCAAATGGTCTCTGAAGCCTCCATGACTTCAGGGTTTTTAAATTCCCTTGAGCAGAATGTTCCCATCAGCAGCTTCTAAAGAAGCAGCCTTAACATGAAAATCTTGTCTGCCCTGCCATATTTTAAAATGTCAGAAACATCTACAGGAAAACTCAGTCACTGTTGGTTTTCAACCCTAAGAGATTAAAGAGGGAAAAAAAGATGTTTTTATTAGTCTTTTGTCTCCAACCCCTACCAGTAGTTACTTTTATAGTTACCTTTTGCTTTTGGCTGCACTGAGACTGAATGCTACACTTAAAGATCTTAATCCACATTTAAAATTGTTACTCACTTGAAGGACAGGCAAAACTATTGAGATTAGGAGGGTGCCAGATGGGAAGGACGTGGTACTGACAGCAGGAGTTTCCCCCAGCTCTTTCCCTTCCTCTCAGCAAACCTGGGAAATCCAGAGTGCCCAAGCTGGTGGAATTGTGTGAGTCAGGTGTTTGAGGCACTTTGTGTGGCTTGTGCATGTTCATTTTCCCTCTTTTAACCTCAGCACAGCCCAGATCTGTCTCTCCACAGCATTATTCATGACTGTGGCCTGTCTGAAAGTCAGCAGTGGGGAAGGAACTGCATTTTGCTTTCCTCAGAGCGTGTGCCTCCCTACATGCTCTGATTTGAGAGCAAAAATATTTTTTCTCTTTCAGCTGTGTTGCTCATTTTTGCTGTGGATCACTCAAACCATGGATATGGCCACTTCAAAGCTGTGTCAGTGAGAAAATTTGAGAGAAAACAGATTATCCACAGCCACACTTGATCTGTCTCCTCTCCCTCAGCACACTTGGAGGAGGTTCTGGATCAATGATGCAGGGCAAGCCTAGGAAATCAGGAGGAGCTCTGATTTTACCCCTTGTGGGAAAGGAGAGGGGCTTTTGTGCCCGACTGAAACTCTGCAGTCCTGCGGGAGCTGCACACCCATTCTGCAGCCTTGGAGCCAGCTGTTGGTTTTTCCCTGCTGTTGCTCAGTTTTGCTTCAATGTTTCCAAAATAAAGCAGATGAAGTAAGATATTAAGTTTAAAAAACCAAGCTCAAGCAGCGACAAAAGTGCAGACAAAAGATCTTTTAATAGCATCGTTTTTCTTTTATTAAATCTTTAGTCGGTAAAATTGTTGCTCCTGACTACCTCTTCATGCCTTTTGAACCACATGGATGTCTAATACTTCTCTAGTATTTGTTATGCCTTTTGAACTCCCTGTACAACAGATGAGTGCCATCGAGAGTAGTTTTCTCTCCCAAATAGCCTCAAACACTCGTTTATTTCTCCCAAAGAGGCTGAACCCCGCGTGGTTCGTGTCCCATCGCACGGCACCGGTATCGGCACGGGGGATTTGGCCCGGGGGCAGCCGTGTGGCGATGCTGCCGCAGCCCAGCCCAGCCCCTGGGGCCGCTGTCCGGGTGCATTTGGCAGGGCACGGACACAATTTCAGCGCCGTCTGTCTTTATGCTCCGTGTTTGTGTGGCCCATGCGGGCGGAGCGGGGCTGGCGAGAGCCGCGCTCCCCTCAGAGCCCCTGAGGGCGGCGGCAATGGCGGCGCCGCTCCCTCAGCACCGCCCCGGGGCGGAGCGGGCGCTCTTTGGCGCCAAGACCGGAGCGCGCTCCTCCGGGTCCCGCTCGGCCATGGCCGCCCCTGCCGAGCCCGGGCACTCGCCTGGCTTCAAGAAGCCGCCGGCGCTGCTGCGGCTGAAGCGCAAACGTCCTGTGCGGAGGAGCGACTCCGACGGAGCCGCGGAAGCCGCCGCCGCCCCGGCCCCGCGGGGCTCTGGGGCCGCCCGCCGCCGCAACCCCTTCTCCAGCCTGGACAACGCTCCGCGGCGGGCGGCGGCCGCCCCTCAGCCTCCGGCAGCGACCCCCGCGGGCGGGGATCCATCGGCAGTGCCCTTCTGGCAGGTGGGACCGAGCCCTGGCAGCGGGGTCCTCTGCTCTCAGCCCTCGGGCATCGCCCTCAGCCCCTCAGCCATCACCCTGAGCTCTCAGCCCTCAGCCATCACCCTCAGCCCTCAGCCATGGCCCCCAGCCCCTCAGCCATGGCCCCCAGCCCCTCAGCCCCTTCCCGATGCAGCCCCGGGCTCGCCCCTGGCTCCACCAAAGCCCTGCTGGGCTCGGGCTGTTGCTCAGCTCTGGATGCGGATCTTGTCCTCACCCCGAGCGGGGTTTGTTTGCGGCCCGGAATGCTGAGGATCACTCGGGAAATGTCACTGCAAGAGGCAGTGTTTAAAATGACCAGCCCGGTGCTTCCTTTGTGCTGTGCCTTATGCTGCTCTTTCATTCAGTTTTTAGAGCCGGCCTGTGAGGAGAAGCCCCCCGGGAGAGCGGAGCCTGCTGAAAGTTCCGACATCCTCGCCCTAAGCCAGGTATGAAACAGCGCACGCTGCTGAAAACATTCCAGCTGTTCTCAGGGCACACAGAAAGCTGAAACTGTTTCACTTGGTATTTGGTGGCCCATCTTTGCATAAAAAAATGTACTGAAATGTCAGTATTCAAGGAAATTTCTTACATTGATGTTTCCTGTTCTGGTGACAGTCTTTTAAACCCAGCCTTCTGCCTGATCTCACTGGTGTTGTAGTTCCATGGACAGGTTGTTTTCTTTCAGTTTTCCTGACTATAATTTTACTGTTTCCTAGTTTTATATGTAGTTGAGATGAGGATGTTTTTCACCAGATAGACCTCCTGCAGTCTGGTTTTCAGCTACAGAAATGGAGCACTTCATCAGGCACATAGTAAAGCAAGAATTCCTGAAAACTAGCCCTTGAAATTCAAACAGAGTTTCAATAGACATTCTCTAATGTTGTTCTAGGTACACAAACTGAAGTTCAAACTAAATTAGAAGGATAGAAAAAAGAGAACAAACTGTCTTGGAGTGCTCAGGGCTTTGTTCGGCTTGTGACCTTACAGTCACCAGGAGAGGATGAAATGAAATAACCATTTTGGCATGGAAATTCTTGCCTTCGTAAACACCAGGCTCAGGGCTTTTTTGTTTTAATAATTTTTATCTTTTTATTTGTTCCTGGTTTATACTGTTGGAAGGAGTCATGAGTGCAAGGCCTCTCACATGGTTTTTTGGGCAATAGAATGAAGTGGTTTTGTTCGAATCTGGTGCTGAGCAAAAGAATCAAAATAATAATGTATAAAAGAATATATAAATAAGAATATAATAATAGAATATAATATCATATAAATATTAAACAATAATAATAGAATAAATAATATAATAATATATTCAATAAGAACTGTCTGCCTGTGAACAGGTTTAATTTTCTGCGAGTTAACTGATGCTGTTTCTGCTTGCTCAGGACCTTCATTCCCCTCTCGCCGTACCCAAAGCTCCCTCCTCGCCCCGCCAGGAGTTCCCCGCAGACTGGAGCATTAAAACCCGGGTTCTCTTCATGTCCTCGCAGCCCTTCACGTGGGCAGAACACCTGAAAGGCCAGGAGGAGGCGCAGGGGGTGGCTCAGCACTGCCGGGCCGCGGAAACCTCGCTGCCCCGGAGCGTGCAGGTGAGGGCCGGGCGGGTGCCTGGGGCCGCGGCGCTGCTCTCCGCAGCTCTGCCTGCCCCTCACCCGCCCTGGGCCCCGCAGGAGCCGCGGCTGTGCTCGGAGCTGCGCTGTGCCTTCCAGCAGAGCCTGCTCTACTGGCTGCACCCCTCGCTGCCCTGGCTGCCGCTCTTCCCCCGCCTCGGGGCGGACAGGAGCATGGCCGGGAAGGCCTGTCCCTGGGCACAGGACGAGGCCCTGCAGCAGGTGCTCATGAGTGACTGGTGAGTGCCTGATGGGCTGGGTGAGGGTGGGGAGAGGAGATTTTAATTAATCACGGGGTTGTGGCGTGGTGTGGGTTGGAAGGGAGCTTAAGGATGAACACATTTCAACCCCTGCCATGGCAGGGTCACCTTCCACTGTCCCAGCTGCCCCAAACCCCAGTGTCCAACCTGGCCTTGGGCACTGCCAGGGATCCAGGGATGGAATTCCACCCCAGCCCCTGCCCACCCTCCTAGATAACAGTTCCTCATTGCCAATCTCCCATCCATCCATCCATCCATCCCTGCCCTCCGGCGCTGTGTCCTGTCCCTGCATGCCCTGTCCCCATTCCCTCTCAGGGCAGGGACCCTGCCAGCCGTGCCAGCGCTGTGTGTTCCCTGGCAGGTCGGTGAGCTTCACCTCTCTGTACCAGCTGCTGCGGGCACGCCTCTGCCCCTATTTCTACGTGTGCTCGGCGCAGTTCTCGGTGCTGTTCCGTGCCGCGGGGCTGGCGGGCAGCGCCGAGCCCACGGCCGCCATCGCGCCCACCACGCGCGGCCTGCGCCACGCCATGCGTGCCGAGGGTAAGGGCACCGCTGGGGATGGGCATGGGGATGGGCACAGGGACGGGGATGGGCAGGACTGGCACATGGCCGCCATCGCGCCCACCACGCGCGGCCTGCGCCACGCCATGCGCGCCGAGGGTAAGGGCACCCGCCGGGCATGGGCACAGGGCTGGCACACAGCCCCTCACTGCTGCCTCCCCTCACCACAGGCATAGAGTTCTCCTTGCCTCTGCTGGAGGAAGGTGGAGCCAGGAAACAGGAAAACTCCGAGGAGAGTTTGGAGACAGAGACAGCTGAGGGCATCAGAGCGGGCAGCAGTGTGGAGGATGTGGGGTGAGTGACAATGTTGCGTGGCATTGCATAAAGGGAAGGGGCCAGCATCCATTCATTGCTCACATAAACACCAGCTCAGAGGCTGTGAGATTTTAAAGGAGCAAGCATTCAGCACACAGATCCCCCCAGTTTTAATGGTGTTTATCATTGCTCACATAAATACCATCTCAGAGACTGTGAGATTTTACAGGAGCCAGCCAATCTATTTGGCCATAGATTCATTGCTCAGTTAAACACCATCTCAGAGGCTCTGAGATTTCAGAGGAGCAAGCATTCAACCATAGCTCAAAGTAGTCACAAGTTTCTTTTTTAGAAGGCAATATAGAACTTTTTGCATTTCTTATTTTGCATTTCTAACCTATCACCTTTACTTACTTCTGCTGCACTGTGGATACTTTTATTCAGTGGGTGTCTAACTCACCTACACACATATGCTTCTGTTATAACTTCTGAACTCAGTTACTCTGTACAACCACACCCTTACAGTATAAACCCTTCACCATTTCATCAATACGGTTTCTCACTTATTTAAAGCATATTCTTACTTACAACTATAGAAAATAAGTTTATGATTTTTCTACTTAATGTCTGTTCTTTGTTCTTAATATCTGTTATTCTACTTAATAATGTTCTTTAGTTTTGCATTAATCCAAGCTCATTCCAAGGCTGCAGATCAAACCCTCCTGAATCTGTGGAAGTTTCTGTCTTTCCATTTCCCACAGTTGTGCAGTGCTGGAATTCAGGGGCATCCCCAGGCTCCTGCACAGTCCATTTGGAAAACCCTCCTCAGAGGCCCTGCCCTCCTAACACTGATCCTGTGTCCCAGGGAACCAGCTCCCAGCGATGACGATGATGATGGAAGCTTCTCTTGGCTTGAGGAGATGGGAGTCCAAGACAAGGTGAAGAAACCAGACACTATTTCTATCCAACTGTATCCTTCCTCTGATCTTCCAGATGTGTGACACGGGTAAACCCTGCAGCTTTTACAGTGCTGTGGTACATTTGAGTTCTGTAGAAGTTTTTGAGAACTCTTACAAGTATGAATCCTCACGTTCCTGCATGTGATGAGATACTGCATTTTCTTTTTAGTTACTTTGCAAGTATTTCTAGGATTTGAAGCCAGGATTAAGATGTCTGAAGAGCAGATGTGGGTGGATGCACAGCTGGGTGGGGTTTGTGTTTGGGGATTTTGGTCAGGTGGGGTGAGGGAGGGCTCACTGCTCCACCTTTCTGGCCCCTGGATGCTCCCCAGTGCTCCGTGGCTTTCCCTTGACCGGGCTCCAGGCGCAGGGAGAAGCACGAGGTGCAGGTGGATCACAGGCCCGAGTCGCTGGTGCTGGTGAGGGGCAGCAACACCTTCAGGCTGCTCAATTTCCTCATCAGCTGCCGCAGCCTGGTGGCCGTGGCGGGGCCGCAGGCGGGGCTGCCCCCGACGCTGCTGTCCCCGGTGGCCTTCCGGGGCGGGACCCTGCACACGCTCAAGGTGAGGAGGGCACGGCGGGCCCGGGAGCGGCAGGGAGCCATTCCTTACCCGGGGGATCGGCCCCTGCCTTGGGGGGTTCCCTCGGGCACCACAGCTGGGCCTGCCCCTGGATCCCTGGAAGTGTCCAAGGCCAGGCTGGATGAGCCTTGGAACAACCTGGGATAGTGGAAGGTGTCGCTGGCCACGGCAGGGGTTGGTCCCTCCCAATCCAATTCTTTCCCTATATCTAACCCAAATTTCTTCCCAGTAAGAACAGGATCAGCTACTTGTTCCAGCAGAGAAGTTCTTGGGCACTTCCCGGTCCCTACAGCATTCCTGCAGTCCAGGGGCACATTTTAGGAGTTGTTACAGGGACAGTAAAGCCTTATGCATTGCTCAGGGAGCGGGCAACACTGAGAAGTGTTTCCATTTTCAGTGGGGCCGTGGCCTGTGGTGCCAGAGCGGTGCCAGTTCCTGGCTGTGTGCAGCACTGACCGCGGTGCTCTCTCTGCCCCCAGGCCCGCACTGTCAGCGGCCGTGCCCGGGTGCCCGGGGGCTTTGAGGACGTGTTCAGCCTGGAGGTGCTGGGGCCCGTCCTGCCGCACGCCCTGCACGCCCTGACGCTGGTGCTGGGCCCGGCTCAGCGCGGCTCCTTCCGCGCCCTGCTCAGCCCCCACGAGCCCAGCGCCGCCTTCAACGCCCGCCCGGGCCCGCCCCAGGTGAGGGGAGCGAACACCGGGACAGGCCGGGATGGGAAATGAGCACTGGGACAGACCGGGACAGGGAATGCACACCGGGACAGCCCGGGACAGGGAATGCACACCGGGACAGGCCGGGATGGGGAATGCACACCGGGACAGCCCGGGATGGGGAATGAGCACTGGGACAGCCCGGGATGGGGAATGCACACCGGGACAGCCCGGGACAGGGAATGAGCACTGGGACAGCCCGGGACAGGGAATGCACACCGGGACAGCCCGGGATGGGGAATGAGCACTGGGACAGACCGGGACAGGGAATGCACACCGGGACAGCCCGGGACAGGGAATGAGCACTGGGACAGCCCGGGACGGGGAATGCACACCGGGACAGCCCGGGACGGGGAATGAGCACTGGGACAGACCGGGACAGGGAATGCACACCGGGACAGGCCGGGACGGGGAATGAGCACTGGGACAGACCGGGACAGGGAATGCACACCGGGACAGGCCGGGACGGGGAATGAGCACTGGGACAGCCCGGGATGGGGAATGAGCACTGGGACAGCCCGGGATGGGGAGGGCACACCGGGACAGCCCGGGACGGGGAATGCACACCGGGACAGGCCGGGACGGGGAATGCACACTGGGACAGCCCGGGATGGGGAATGAGCACTGGGACAGCCGGGACGGGGAGCGCCCACCGGGACAGGCCGGGGACGGGGAATGCACACCGGGACAGGCCGGGACAGGGAATGCACACCGGGACAGCCCGGGATGGGGAATGAGCACTGGGACAGCCCGGGATGGGGAATGCACACCGGGACAGCCCGGGAGGGGGAATGAGCACTGGGACAGCCGGGACGGGGAGCGCCCACCGGGACTGCCCACGGTGATTTCCCGCAGAAAGCCTCACTCGGTGCGTGTGCCCCCACAGGAGGACGAGCAGAGGGAGCTGCCGGCCTGCGGGCTGCACCCCAGCACTCTGGCTCAGCTGAGGCAGTGTCCCACGCTGGGGAAATCCTCCCTCCGCCTGCTGGAGATGAAGGATTACAGCTACACCTGGAAGGCCTAGGAACGCTGCTGGGCCCTGCAGCAGGACTCGCCCTCCCTGGGCTCAGGTGCCGGGCTTGGGGCAGGGTGGGAGGGACACCCCACACGGCTGCTGCACAGGAACACCTCCAAGGGCTTTGGAAGAAAGGAGGGGAAAGGCCTTGGACATCTCCTCTTTTATTGTACAAAGTATTTTTAAAATAAAACGTGGTTTTATTGGTCTGGTTTGGCCCTGCCAGGTTGGTCTTCCCCTTCTGTTCCAAGCATGCAATTTCTGCTCCTGCTTGGAGCGGGAACTCATAACCAGGTCAGAACTAGAACCCCCCCCAGGACAGGGGATAGGAACCAGATGAGCTTTTAGGTCCCTTCCATCCCAAACCTTCTGGGATCCCATGGATGGGTGGAATGTTTGGCAAAACCCTTCCCAGACTGTTGACAGCCCCCTGCCACCCTCAGCAGCTGCACCTTGGTGTGTGGCACCTCTTGGGCTGGGGCCATCTTGGAACTCCACAGGGAGGAATGGAGGTCAGAGGGCCCCAGGGCTGCTCAGCAGAGCTCGCACCCACCCCAGGGGAGGAATCAAATGGCTGCAGCACCTGGGCACGAGGAAAGGGAGCTCAGGCCTTGGCACCTCCAGGGAGCTTTGCAGTGCCCATCCCTGCAGGTGTCCCCTGGAGGTGGCACTGAGTGCTCTGGGCTAGGGACAGGGTGCCCATGGGGCACAGCTGGCACTGCATGGGCTGGCAGGGCTGTGCCAGCCCTGGGGATTCCATGGATCAGAGACAGAGGAAGAGGAGCAGGGTCTGACCAGGTGCCCCCGAGTGTTTCCCTGCAGGGAGAGGCTCCCAGGCCTTTTGGGGAGGGTGTTGTTTTTCCACAGCTCTTGCCTGAGCACATTCCCGCAGCAGGGAATGCCACAGCTGGCTGGGAAGTGGAACCAACTCTGTTTGTGCTCTCCAGGTGCATTTCTGTAATCTGGTGTTTGTCACTGAAGTGAAGCCGTGGGCAGCAAAGCTCAGCTCTCCCTGCTGCTGCCCCTGGGCTCTGGGATCACCCAGCACAGCCCCACAAACCAAACATGGGCACAGAGCGGCCCCTGAGCCTGGGCCAGCAATGGCCTCCTCTGCCCCCAGAGCCTTTGTGTGTGTCCTGCCCCAGGATCCAGCAGGGATGCAGCTCTGCAGGAACCCTGGGTTTTACACAACTGCTGTGAGCTGCCAGCCCCAGAGCAAATCCCAGCTCTCCCAGGATGCAGGGCTGTTCCTGAAGGATGTGGCTCCAGGGAACACACAGATCCCTCAGCTTTAAGCCGTGAAACCCAGACCTTTCTGAGTAGTTATATTTCAAATGGAGTCTTTAGTGGGAGTGGATTTCTCTGCTGCTGGGAGAGAACTCAGCTCTTTACCTTAGGCATGGGTAACAGAGATATAGAAAAGGGAAGCAAACAAGTACAGGGAGTTGTACATTCCCAAATTTGATGGTGTCCAGCTGTAACATCTGAGCTGCCATGGAGAGAATCCTCAGCAGCTGCGAGGTCTGGGCTCTGCCAAGGCACTGAGTGTGGAGGGAGCTGCTCCAGCCCCAGGGAGGAGCCAAACACCCCCAGCACCCCCAGGATGATCCTCCCAGCTTTCCTGGGAGCTCACACCTCCCAGGCACTTGCAGGACAAGCTCCACACATTTAGTCAGAGACCGAAGGCGAGATGCCAAAGGGAAAAAAGTTTAATTCAAGACAACAACGTCCATGAAATGAAGATCAACTGAAGCATTTTCGGAGCGCTTGGACAGACTCACAGGGGCGTTTGTGCCTCCAAACCAACCCCAACTCCCTGCTGCACAGGAAACACCAACCCCTGTCCCTGCAGAGCAAGGAGACTCCGCGTTCTGTGACACTGACGGGATCCTCAGGGCTCCAGGCACCAGAATTCCTCAGCTCCATGGACCCCCATGGCCACAGGGTCCCTCCCGTGAGGCCTGAGCAGCCTGGCTGGGTTTGCTCTGGCCCCAAACCCAGCTCAGGTTCACACCTCACAAAGACTCGTCTGGGACAAGCCCCTGCAGGACCCCAGTGCAGAAATGCTGGCAGCCTGCCCCTGACTCAGATCCCTCGGGGAGGGTGCACCGCCCCTTCCAGTCCCACGTGCACACAGATCAAAGATCAATGCTTCTTAAATAAAAAATAAAAAGCAGGAAAAGCTTTCCACATCCTCTCTGCTGTCCAACTGCCCAAACTCTGGATCAGGCTCCTTGAGGGCAGAGGATCCTTATCCTGAACACTGCATCCCAAGGAGTTATTTTGTAAAAGTTCAAAACAAACAAAAACCACCAGACCTGCTCCTGCCATCCCAAAGGCTGTTGGGAATCCTCACAAAGCCACTTTTGTATCGTGTGTGCTCCTTGCAGAAGGCATTTTGGCGAGTTTAAATTCCTGTTTCCTGGCTTGGCATCCCTTGGAATCACTGCTTACTGACCAGGGGTGAAGATTATGAACTTGTGCTGCTTTATTGACCAAGTTGGGTACAACAATTGAAGCGTCATTCTACCCCCTCCCTCCCCCCAAATCCAGTTGTAGATTTGTTAAAGAGTTTAAAATTCACATGAACCACAAATCCGTACAATCAGCATCAGGCAGTGGATTCACTGGTTGGGAATTGCAGCCCCCCGGGAGGCTGGGCCAGGCCGTGTCCCCCCGGCTGTCCTGGGGTGGCACCGAGGGGCAGCGCCCGGGCAGGGCCCCAGGGTGTCCCCAGCACCCCCGAGCCCAGGGGACTCTGCAGCCACTACAAAACTGTATCAAAGAAAGGGTCAACGCTCTGACAGGAGAGGAACTGCAGGAGCTTCAGCCAAGGGTCTGGATTTCTGATGCCTCCAGAGTCTGTCATCCGATTTAGTCGTTTAAGAAATAATTACATCACTAATGTAAACAATATAAACATACCAAAAACTAAGTATGATTTAAATACATTTGGATGGTACAAAAGAAAAAACCTGCGGGCGTCTGTACAGTTTTTACAAGGTGGGAATCGCCGATGTATTTACAACATGAGAGGGGCAAATACCATTTGTTGTGCAGAGTAAAATGCTCAGAACCAGTGTCCCAGTAAAGCCAAGCTTAGCGGTGTGAGGCACTCCTGAACATGGTGGTATTGACCATGCTTTCCTTTGGTACGAGTCCCATGGCCTGCAGCGCCGCCGTGGCCGCCGTGGCTTTCGCGTGCTTCTTGTTAAGGCTGGCAAAGGTGGGCCTGTACTCGTTGCCATTGACTCTCACCTGGCACGGGGGAACCAGGGGTTAGCGAGGGGGCCGTGCCTGCCCCAGGCACACTCTGGGCAGCTCCTTTTTAGGGACACAGAGCCCGTGGCTGCCTGTCAGCAAGGGCATCGCAGGGGATCCCACTGCGCTCGGGGCTGGGAGGGACCTCACGGCCCAGCCGGTGCCACCCCGGCCGTGGCAGGGACACCTTCCACCGTGCAGGGCTGCTCCCAGCGCCAGCGGCCTTGGGCCCTGCCAGGGACCCAGGGGCAGCAACAGCTGCCCTGGGCTCCCTGTGCCAGGGGCTGCCCACCCTGCCAGGGAATTCCTAATTCCCAAGATCCCATCCAGCCCTGTCCTCTGGCAGAGGGAAGCCACTCCCTGCGTCCTGCCCCTCCAGCCCTTGTCCCCAGTCCCTCTCCAGCTCTGCTGGAGCCCCTTTAGGGCCGGCAAGGAGCTCTGAGGTCTCACTGGAGCCTTCCCTCCTCCAGGTGAGCACCCCCAGCTCTCCAAGCCTGGCCTCAGAGGGGCTCCAGCCCTGGGATCCCAGAATAAAGTGCTCCAGGGACTCGGTTTGGCCTTTCCAGGAACAGGACTTGCACGTTCCAGCACCGAGACGGCTCCACCATCCTCAGCCAGCCCCGTGAGGTGTTTCTATCAAACAGAAACATGGATTTCACCCCTGGCACAGAGAAAGCAGCACAGGGGCAGGCAGCCCAGACCCACCTTGAAGATGAAATGCTTGCGGTGATCAGGCCCACTGTCGTCCACCAGCACGAACTCGGGCGGCGTCCACCTCCTCTTGTTGCAGATCTCCATCAGCGCAGACACCGGGTGCTTCCCTGGCACACACAGACATGGCAGGGTCAGTGCCCACCCAGCCTCTGGGCGCTGCAGCAATCCAGACAAGGAACTCACCTGAGAGATCCTTCATCACCACGTAATGGCCGGACCTCTTCTGGGCCTTCTCTCCCACAGCAACCAGCCCTGCAAACAACACAGGCACGATGACATCCCCTGTTCCAGTGACATTCCCTGTTCCCGTGACATTCCCTGTTCCAGTGACATTCCCTGTTCCCATGACATTCCCTGTTCCAGTGACCAGTGACATTCCCTGTTCCAGTGACATTCCCTGTTCCAGTGACACTCCCTGTTCCAGTGACACTCCCTGTTCCAGTGACATTCCCTGCTCCCATGACATTCCCTGCTCCCATGACATTCCCTGTTCCAGTGACATTCCCTGTTCCCGTGACATTCCCTGTTCCAGTGACACTCCCTGTTCCAGTGACACTCCCTGTTCCAGTGACATTCCCTGTTCCCATGACATTCCCTGCTCCCATGACATTCCCTGCTCCCATGACATTCCCTGTTCCACTGACATTCCCTGTTCCCCTGACATTCCCTGTTCCAGTGACATTCCCTGTTCCCATGACATTCCCTGTTCCAGTGACCAGTGACATTCCCTGTTCCAGTGACATTCCCTGTTCCCGTGACATTCCCTGTTCCAGTGACACTCCCTGTTCCAGTGACACTCCCTGTTCCAGTGACATTCCCTGTTCCCATGACATTCCCTGTCCCCATGACATTCCCTGTTCCCATGACATTCCCTGCTCCCATGACATTCCCTGTTCCCATGACATTCCCTGTTCCAGTGACATTCCCTGTTCCCATGACATTCCCTGCTCCCATGACATTCCCTGTTCCCATGACATCCCCTGTTCCAGTGACATTCCCTGTTCCTGTGACATTCCCTGTCCCCACTGACATTCCCTGTTCCCATGACATTCCCTGTCCCCGTGACATTCCCTGTTCCCATGACATTCCCCATTCTCCCTGACCCCTGAGGCAGCAGCAGAGCACAACCAGGGTCACAGGGGACACCTGGAGACCCCACCCAGCTCTGAACTCTCCACCTTGTTCTGCCCATTCTGCTCAGCACATTCTTCCCAAAGGACACTCTGAAGCAGCCAGGAGGAGAGAGCTCTGAGCAGCCTCACACAAGGCAGAGAACACCTGGTTTTCCATGGAAACCTGGTTTTCCACGCCCTCTTTGGAGAAACAATCAACAAGGGAGACAGTGAAGAACATTCTCCAACTGCTTTGTGCAGCCCTGAGTCACCCCTGCCTTCAGTTTGCCTCAGACACAGGAGCACAGGAACCACTCCCATCATCGAGAGGGGTCCCTGTGTCCCCTCCTGCCAGGGGTGACACCACAGACCCGGATTCCCTGTGCTCTCTGAATGTACAGGGCTCCAGCAGCCCGAGCTGGGAGCTCCAACCCCCTGGGAGCAAAGCAGCAGAGAGGGAACAGCCCCAAAGGGCTGCACAGGCTCTCCTGGAGTCACTGCCAACACCAAAGCTCAAAACTGTTCTTCTGAAACGCTCACAAGATCAGGAAATGAACTGAAGAACTGCCAGAAATGTCTGAATTCCAGTGACAATCCACCAGAGAAACTCAAGCTTCTCCCCATGGATTTTGCCACTCTCAGACTTCAACCTTTCCTTTGTTTCTTACCTCCAGATTTCCTGCTGTGGCTTTGGTCAATAAAGACAGGGAGATACTGCAATTGCTTCCAGTGTCTTCCTGTTCCTTCAGCTTTTGTGGCTGGCATTTGGGTTTCTTTTGCTTTACAGGGAAATCCTTCCCTCCTTACCAGACAATCCTCCCAATATTCCTGCAGCCCCTAAGCAGGGCCTTCCCAAGGGAATGAAGCCATCAGAGACAATCCCTGAAGGAGAGGCTGAGGGCTTTAAACCCCAACCCAACAAGGGATCCTCATCCTCCTCGTTAAACTCTCTCCCTGCTGCTGAGTCCCTGACACTCCACTCCACCTCCTGTCCCTGGGAATTTCAAACAAGCTGCAGCCTCCTGAGTCACTTCCTGGGACCAGGAATTGTATTTTATTTGGGCTGGTTTATATTTATGAATATATATTTATTAAAAGAAGATATTTTAATAATTATTAAAATATAAATTTTAATTTTTAGAAAATAATAAAATACTGGTTGATACATTGAAAAATGTCTAATAAATTCCTTACAAAAAAACCCTGGGTGGTGGGTTAATAACAGCCTTCCTGTCAAACACTGTGGACTCAAAAACTCTACACAGAAGTTTAAAAAAAAAAGTTTGTTTTAGCCATTTAATCACCCAAGAACACAGATGTCTGAAAAACTACTTGTCCTCAATATATAATCCCTAAATATATTATATAATATTATATATTATATATAATAATAATAATCCCTTGTCCTAAATATGTCTTATATATAAAATATATAACATATATTATAGTATATAATGTATACATTATATTATATATTATATATTATATAAAATTATAGAAAATCCATAGTCCTATATATAAAATATATAATACATAATAATATATAATAATATATAATAATATATAATAATATATAATGTATAAAATATAATAATATATAATACATAATATATACATTATATAATATATATAATATAATACATTATATATAATATAAAATCATGTTTCCTGCCTTTCTGTGAGCAGGGCACCTCGTGCCCCTCATGCCCCTGTGCCACAGAGCTGGGTGGCCCCAGAGCAGAGGGAATTCTGCACCCAGGCAGGATTTGTGGCAGTGATCAGGTGAGGCTGCACGTGAGCAGGAGTATTTCACAGCCAGGGAATCCAAGCCCAGCAGGGCTGTCTGAAGGCTGGCCCTGCTCTCAGGTGCCTCTCACAGCCCTGGAGGAGCCCTTGGCAATCGCTGCCACCAGGCACCTTTGGGGTTTCATTGCTTTCTTTACACAGAAAGGTTGTAAAGAAAACCATGTGAGGGGTTGGGCCATTCCGAGCTCAGTTGTGAGCAGTGACAAAAGCCAACACAAGCCCTGAAATCCCAGAATGGTTGGCTGGGAAGGGACCTTAAACCCCATCCAGCGCCATGGGCAGGGACACCTCCCACTGTGCCAGGATGCTCCAAGCCCCATCCAATGGGCTGACATGAAAATTCTGAGTGTTTCCACCCCTTTGAGATGGGACTGAAGGTTCCTGGTGCAGAAGGAATCTTTAGAACTGCAGGAATCTGTCCCACAGTCAGTGTGGAGTTGTTGTTTTGTTCCATGCACAGAACAATTAAATTAGAAATCCTGACTGCTGAATTCTGGATTTAAAGCAAAAGGCGTTCCAGATGGACAATGTCCAGCAGCAGCCAGCACACAAAGCTCAGAGGCCAAGCTGAAGGAGCAGCAGCACTGGATGGTTCTGCTGCACCACAAGAGCTCTCCCCTGTGGCCATGGACTGGAAACCATGGAAAACAGGGGAGGTTTCCAGGGAAAGTGGAGGCTAAAGCTGCCTCTGGAAGCAGCCCTGAGCATGAGCCTTCAGCAGGATCAGCTGGAGATGAACAGCGGGGAAATGAGGGACAAAAAAAGGACCAGAATCTACAGGAAAGCCCCAAAGCCCTGAGTGTGAGTCAGTGACACAGCTCAGCTTTGGGGCTCTCAGCTCTCTGTAACACTGACCCCACCATTCCATCTTCTACCCCTGCTCCTGCTCCAGCCACTTCCCCAGAGCCACCACTGCAGCTTTTCCTCAAGGACAAAGCTCTGCAGTGACCCCAGGCCTTGGCAAACCTGAGGCAAAGTCCCAGAACCTGTTGATGTGCCAGTGAAGCCCCCCAGACAACCCCAACCTCTGCAGGCAGCTGAGAGCTGAGAAGCCACAAACATCCCTGAGGCAGGACTCACCCTTTCGATCTGTCTTAAAGTCCACCATGATGGGCTCAACGCTGCCTTCCTTGTTCTTCCCAAGGCCTTCTCCTTCTCTCCAGCCCATCTTCCTCATCAGCTGAGCTCCCATTCCTCCAGTCACAGGGGCTGCTCTTAAGAACTGATCCTATCCAGAAAGAGAGAAGTAAAACAAGGCCTAAAGTTAGCGCTGGGATTTTAAGTAAGAAGTGGGAACTTCCAAAAAAATGTTTCTAACAACTTTTCACAGACTCAATTAAAAATAAAAATAAATAAAAAAAATCCACCTGAGCTCTGTGGATTTTTAGCCCAAACCAGTGCGTGGAACCCGGAACTCACGCGGACACACGAGACACAAATCAATGTTTGGCAAAAAAGAACAACTTAGGAAAAGTCTAAGGTGATCCCAAAGTGGCAGTGACCCTTGGCAGACAGATGTGTTTAACCAAGCAACAACCTGCAGACTCTAAAGGCTCTAAAGACTCTGCCCTGATCCCAGAGATGTCCTCAGCTCGGGAAGTGGGAACTGACCCCGGCACAGCTGCGCCAGGGCCCCTCCTCGTCCAACAGAACACAAGCACATTTAGTCATGACATTCACAGGCTGTTTAGGCGGATTTAAATCTAAAAAAAAAACCTCTCCCCACCTGATTCATTACACAGCAGTTGCACATTCAAGTTCTACTCTGAAATTCCACATGGAACAAACAGCTTTTGCTTTCCCCTCTCTTTATTTTAACGGAAAAAGGCGCTTGGCCCCCCAGTTTAGCAGCAGCAGTCGTCACATTCTTTCAAATGAGCATTAACAAAAGTTGTTAAACGGTGAAAGCTTATCAACAGAAAGTTTAAACATCTGCTTTGATGTAAAGAACTGTAAAAACTCCTTAAATGTTACGTACCTAGGCCTCGCTGGCCGCAGTGTTGTGAATAGTAGGGCTGGCACTGACCGTGGCAAGAAGGCGGCTACAAGGATTTGACCCTGAAACAAGTTTCCATATAGAGGGGTGAAAGTTCACAGGTTATTCTGTGAACTATCATCTCTCGTGCCCCCCCGCTGACCCCAGAGCAAGTCAAGCATTTCCATCACACAGAGCCTGGCCTGGCCTGCCCCGCACGGCCGGGCAGGGCTGGCTCTGCCTCGCTGCCCGGGCACACCCGCACGGCCCCGGGGCGCTGCTGCCCCTGGAGCTGCGCCTGCCAGGGCAGGAGGCCCCAGAGGTCACAGAGTCACACAGTCCTGAGCTGGAAGGGATCCACGGGCACCACGGGCTCCGAGCACCGGCCCTGCACGGACAGCCCAGCCTGGGCACCCCTGGGAGCTGCTGCAGCTCAGCACGGGCCTGGGGCAGCCACCAGGGCAGGACTGGGGGTCCCTGCATTCCCAGGGCTCCCAGGGCCTGCTCTCCACGGGCAGGGAACAAAGCCTCAGGGCTCCCTTTGGCTCCCCGTGTTCCTCAGGGATTCCCTGCTCACGTCTGTGCCCGGCCCCCACGCTGCAGGCTGCCAGAATGTGCCAGGAAAGCCTTGCTGGAGCCTGTGCCAGGAATGTCCCAGTCCCTGCCTGGGCCAGGAAATCCCTGCGTGGATCCACACGGATCCACGAGGCTGGAGAGCAGAGCTGGGGCTGGTGCAGAGCCAGCCCCTCACACACAGCATCCACAGCCCTTCCCTCCGCTCCCACTCCCTCCCCCGTGCTCCAGGAACATCCTGCAGGTTTGGCTCCCTGCAGCTGGGCTGGCTCCAGCACCACGGGGTGTGTTCAGTTCACAAAGGACACAGCAAGCTCCTGCTGAGGTCACTGCGGCTCCCTCGGCTTTCCCAAACACGGCCTGGGCAGGGGCAGCAAGGACAGAGCAGGACCAAACCATCCTGCTGTGCTCCCAGCCCTGAGCTCCTCCTGAGGCACTGGCAGAGCCTGGACAAACTCCAGAAACTGGAATTAGGGAGTTCTAGGTTCCCAAGGGCCGTTTGTTAAAGCATCCCTTCCACGGGGAATTCAGGATCCTGGAGGGGAACTGCAGCAGGAACTTTGTGCTGACTCTTCAATCACAACCACGACTTACATGTTTATTATTAATAATAACAATTATTATTAATAATAATTTCATTCCAGAACACACAAATACTTGTGCATCCCACCAAAAGGCATGGGGAAGGAATCCTGGTACCAGTGGGAAAGGAGCCAGGAGAATCCCCCTTGGACTCAGGTCACTGAGGCAGCAAAGGTCTGCAGCAAGGAAAAAGTTCCTGCATTTTGATTCTGTGGGTTTTTTCTTTTCCTTTTAATAATAAAGTGAATGTAAACCTCTAATGCCACCTGTACATTGTATTTTTTGTAGTTTAGTAACAGACAGCTTCGCTCAGCCCATGATTTAATGAGTGGGGTAAAACTGGTGCTGGGTTTGGAAGTCACTGAAAAGCATAGAATCAACAGAAATGTTCACAAAAGCAGGGAAGCAAGAGGCACAATTCTTCTCATTTTAAAAACCATCCAAGGGTGAGTCTCCCAAAAACTCCTGAGCAGCTCTGGGCCTTGGCAGATCCAAATTAAGGGGCATGGAATACAAGAAGCCCCAGGTTTGTCAGCATTTGGTTACTGCTGTCAGAACTAACTCATTATTTACAAAAGCATTTCTCTTTCATTCATTCTCTGATCTTAATTTGAGGGAGCCCACAGGACAATTTGATACTTTTTTCCTTGTATTCTGAGCTCTAAATTCCATGGAATCCCACTTCCATTCTGCCAACACATGGAGACACTCAAGAGCCACATTCTTGTGTCAGCACTTGCTTTAAAGAGAAATTAAAACCTGATTCCTTCAGAGGCTTTAGAGCAGTTTAATTAACTTTCTTGCCGATTCCTCAGGCTGACTCTTTGGAACAACAATTTAGGAAGCCAAGACAACAAAGCCTTGAAGGCAGGGGTGGCAGTTCAGGGCAGGACTAAAGGCTGAACTCCAGGGAAGTTCAAGTTCCAGGAATAAGCAAGTCTGGAAAAACTTGTGCCAGGCAGAATTGTCCACGAAATCCCAGCAACTCCTGAGTGATGGGAAGGGACCCACAAGGAGCATCCAAGTCCAGCTCCTGGCCCTGAACAACCCCAGCCTGGCATCCCTGGGAGCCCCAAACGCTCCTGGAGCTCTGATCATGATCTGCCCCCTGTGGCTCCTTGCAGGGATCCTGAGCAGGGAATCTGGGCTGGCTGCTCAACTGGGAGATGCTCTGGCCCTTTCAGCCCCAGTCCTTCCCACAGACAGAGCAGGGATCCCTCGCTGAAGAGGCCCAGCAGTGGCTCCCAGGCACCTGCAGGAGCTGCTGAGAGCTGCACAACAGCAGGGACAAGGGGATGGCTGGCAAAGAGAGCAGCCAGTCCAACACTCACCTCCGTGGAATCACGGAATCCCACACTGGGATGGGTCAAAATGGGGTTAAAATTCACCCAGTGCCACCCCTGCCATGGCAGAGACACCTCCCACTGTCCCCAGTGCCCAGCCTGGCCTTGGGCACTGCCCACCCTGCCAGGGAACAATTCCTCATTGCCAAGGTCCTCAGTGAGCACAGAGCTGCCCTGCCCTGCCAGGTGAGCCTGGCTCCCAAGGAAAGCTCCTTGTGCCTGCAAGAATGGAAGGCAGGTTTGCACTTTCCAGAACCTTCTGCACAAGTGAGTGACCCAGCAGCTCTCCAGGGCCACCCCTGAGCACAGCCCTGGGTTTGGGGAGCAAGTTCAGGCTCCAGAATTGAGCTGATAAATCCAGAACCAAGGGGTGAGTCTGGGAAAGGGGGAGTAAACAGACCTCAACAGAATTTGCTTGGAGAAACAAAAAATGTTTGACCACTTGCTGTGCCATTTCTTCAGCAGCACAGTGTGTTTGGAAGGAAAAAGGGAATAAAAATAGAAGCAACCTTCAGAAAAGATGAGTCACATTTGTGAACTGATTACACTGATGGTGACAAACTGAAACAGAAGCCACTTTTTCAAAGAGAAAGGTGAGATTGCTCATAAATTTTTTATAGCTAACATCACATCACTCTTTTATGGACCCTGCTCAGGCCCCTGCACATAAACACCAAGAATGAATTAGTCCAGGAATTAAACACATAAACCTCATTGCTACTCAAGTGTCCCCACCCCAGTGCTCCCCATGAATCCCTGCAGTTCCTCATTCCCAAACTGAGATTCTGAGTCTGCTCTGAGTGCACATTTCCTCTCCAGCCACTGGGAAAGGACAGGGAAAGGTGAAATCCACAAAGTGCACAGTGAGGACAGAGCTCAGCAAACGAGTTCCCCAAGTCGCCTGCTGCCCTCCTGATCCCTCTCCTGGTGTTGTGGTGACCTCTGTCACACCCAGTGTTTGCTCCAATTCCTCCTTTCCTCAGTGGCTGCCACAGGCTCAGTCTGGGCTGGGTGGTCCCAGCTCCTCCCATGGCAAAGTCCCAAGGGAAATAAATAAATAAATGCCTTCAGCAAACAGCCAGAAATGTGCACTCAGCCAGACCCAGCATCCCCAGGGAACTGCACAGCCCTGCTGGCAGACAAACCCACAGGAACACAGAACAGCCCCAGCTGGAAGTGACCCACAAGGATCATTGTCCAACTCCTGGCCTGAGTGAAAAATACCTGATTTTTTAATGTCCAGACACAGTTTTTAGGCCAAAAAGGGAGCACAAGCCTGACTTGGTAACTGATCATTGTCACACAATTTCAGGTGTCCAAGTAACACACACCCAGCACTTTGCACCTCATGGCTGGTTTGTGCTCCTGTCCCTGAGGATAACATGGACTCAGAACCACATCCTGCTCCTTGCTGTGAAACCCTCCTGCAGCCACAGCAGGGCTCCACAAGCAGCTGTGTGAGGCTTTCCCACCACTCCTGCAGCTCTGGGCCCTCCTGAGCAGCTCTGGGCCTCCTGGCAGAGCAGGAGAGCAGCTGAGGAGTGCCAGGGCAGGGAGGGGACTTTGCCCTCACCCTCCTGTGTGCCCAGCCCCAGAGCCTGCACTGTGCCCACAGCACACTCCCAGCTCTGGGCAGAGCAGGAGAGCTGCTGCTGCCCCACTGAGCCCAGATCCAACAGAATGTTCCAACACTCCTCTGCTCCTTGCAGCAGTCGTGTCCACGAGCACAGAGCACACTCTTCTCCCATTCCCTTCCCTTGAAGCATTTTGTTTGGCTTGTATCTGGGGTTTTTTGCTGTTATTTTGGTTTGTTCAGCTGGGCTGCTTTAAAGCAGATCCCAGAGTGAAGCTGGAGGACAGGAAAATCCCACCTGGTCCTTTCCACTTCACCCTTGTGGCAGCCCCTCCTGCCACTGCCATGACAGGGGACCCCAGGGAGGAGGTTTGGGAAAGAGGAGCTCAGAGCTGCTCCCAAGGCTTTCCAGGGCTTGGGAAGCCATTCCAGGTGCTGCAGACAGGGAGAACCTCCCCTCACAGCCCTGCTGGTCTCCTGCCCAAGCCCCTCTGTGGAAAAGCTCCTTCCTCACCAACACATCCCTGTGCTTCACAGTTCCCTCTGCCAGAACAAGGACTGTCTTCAGCAGAGGCAGCATTTTGCTACAATCTCAGTTGTTCATAGCTGTTAAAATCAGACTTTATCATGCACATTCTGCATTAACACTGGCAAGATCCCAGAAGATTCTCATCTGGCCAGTGACCCAAGTCTGTGTTCCCTGGCTCTCTGCACTGCTTGGCTACATGAGGTGAAAAAACAAGTAAGTGAATCCTGACAGAAAATGTTTCTATTTTCAGGATATTGTAATTCCAGACTTTTGCGTTCAGCTGACACCAACTTCTACGGAAAATTCCACCTAAGGCTCAAATCTGACCTCCCAGCTTGGAGGGTGCTCCAACCCAAGCGGACACAGACCCAACTGCAGCACCTGCCACACTGGCCAGCTCAGCCCCTCACTCCTTGTGCCTGCAAGGGGGATCTCCTCAGATCTCCTTCCTGACAGAGCACCAGATCACAGTTCACAGGCAAAGGTGCAGCTTGAGTAACTGAGTGTACAGAACACACGGATGGAGGACGCAGCACAGCCCAAAGTCAGCCAGTGACAACCCACAGCAACAGCGAACTACTGAATACCAGAGTGAGAGGAACTTAGCAACTGCAACTCCTGCTTTAATCCTCCACATCTCTGGCTCCCAGAAAACCCTGGTGATACAGAGAGAGGCAAAGGAGCAACCAGAGAGAACCAAGGCACACCCAAGGGCAGTCTGGACTTTGGTTCGCTGAAGCCGATAACAAAAACCTGATTTCACCAGCAGCAGGATCAGCCCTGCCTGGCACGTGCCAGTGCCAGGGAGGCAGGGAGGGATGTGCCCCTGCCAGCACAGCAGTGTCCTGGCAGTGGCAGGCCGTGTCTGGTCGGTCACACCTCGCCGGTGACACCGAGGGACAGGGACTGAGCCCAGCCTGCTGCACTGGGCACACGCTCTGCCACAGGGTGAGGCACTCGTGGTGCCCTGTGCGTTCCTTGGCTGCTGCCAGTGTGGTCACTGCTGGGACAGCAGTGGCTGTGTCACTTCTACCTTTCGGATCCACGCCTGGGGGCCGCTGTTGGTGAGCTCGTCCGAGGACAGGATCTGCGCGCCGGTGCTGCCCGTGAACTGCCCGGGGATGGAGTTGGACTGAGCCCAGGCATCGATCTGCAAAGCAAAGCACACACTGAGACCAGCACTGACAGCTCCACGTTCCCTCTGCACCCCTCTGCTGCCCCTCAGGAGTTTCCACAGCACGTTGTTGGGATTTGGTGCGCTCACAGGCTTGGATGAAAGCGGGCGCTACCAAAATCTGAGCATCTGAATGGTCACCCTGAAACCTGAGCTCCAGCTCCTCATCCCCAAACTGCTGAATCCACTCTTTGGGAAAGAATTACCTACATCTGTGCTGCTGAACTACTACAAAACTTAAAGAAAATTAAATTTTAAACTATGTTTCGGTGACTTGGGTGCAAACACAGAATACACAAAGGAGCTCATCAAAACTCAGTGTTAGAAATGCAGAAATTTGAAACACCGGCCCACAGCTGGGTTTCCAAACTGAAACAGGAGAGGAAAACCAGCTGCCATGAAAGGAAAGCCCTGATTTCCCTCAGGCTGCCCCAGATGCTGCTAAAGGCCCCAGCTCACCTGCTCCTGTGCCCGGTTCAGCATGCACATGGCCTCCAGGTCAAAGGAGTTCTCATTGAGCCTCTTCTGGGCCACTGCTCTGTCGTTCATGGCTGTGGTTATGTCCACACACTAGGAGGAAAAAGAGCATTCGTAAAAACACAGCAGAGACAAACAGTGTCCACTTGAGCTGGAAAAAGCTGCTGGAGGATCAATGCCACCAAGTGGGGTTACAGAGTGAATTGTTGGTTTGACAAAAAGGCAACGTGATGGAAATCCTGGGACCACTTAAATCCACACAAGATGGGCTTTCCTGGACAAAGACAAACCTGAATTTAAACTGTAACACCCTGGTAATTTAAAATCACCTGTACACATAAAATATCCAATGGTTTATTTTCTAAGAACTGTTTGTCACAAAAAATTCTGGTGTCACAAAAAATTCTGGTGTGTAATAAACAGAGAAGCATTTTACTCTTCAATGAGATCTTCTAAACCAACAGAATTAAATGCAATTTAACTAAAAACTCATGCAGGCCTGTTCACATGAGCACTCTGCTAATAAGCCACACTAAAGCTTGTCGGTATAAAGTAATTCCACCATGAATTAGATGCATTCAACAGTCTTGATTTCAGTGTTTCAAATTTTCATCTCCAGCCTAAACCAGAAGGGAATGAAGATGGGGAAGGGGGCCCAGGAGGGGCTGAGGGAGCTGGGAAGGGGCTGCAGAATCCCTGAGGAGCTGGAAGGGGCTGCAGAATCCCTGAGGAGCTGGAAGGGGCTGCAGAATCCCTGAGGAGCTGGAAGGGGCTGAGGCTGGAGCAAAGGAGGCTCAGGGGCCCTTGTGGCTCTGCACAAGGCCCTGCCAGGAGGGCACAGCCGGGGGGGTCGGGCTCTGCTGCCAGGGAACAGGGACAGGAGCAGAGGGAGCGGCCTCAGGCTGGGCCAGGGCAGGCTCAGCTGGGACAGCAGCAGCAATTTGCCCATGGAAAGGGAGCTCAGGCCTTGGCAGGGGCTGCCCAGGGAGCTTTGCAGTGCCCATCCCTGCAGGTGTGCCCTGGAGGTGGCACTCAGTGCTCTGGGCTGGGCACAAGGTGGGCACAGCTGGCACTGCATGGGCTCCTGGCAGGGCTGTGCCAGCCCCAGGGATCCTGTAAAACCAGGCTGTGAGCTCACAGAATCCAATGCTTTGGAAAGAATTATCTACATCTGTGCTGCTGAGCTGCAGTAAAATATCAAGATAAATAAATTTAAAATTATGTTGCAGTGACTTTATGAAAATGTGAAATACACAAAGGAGCTCTCTGCAAACCTTCACTGTGGGCAAAGCCATGGGAGAGAAACCACAACATTTGGGGCTGTAATGAATTCTGGCTGCTGTGCAGCTGTTTTATAAAATCCCTGGGCCCTGCTCCTCAAAGGATGTGCATTATGGATCATTCTGTTTGGAAAGCAGGAAGAGACAAGTGTGCAAAGACAAATGGAATTTCTTGAGATGTTGACAGAAGCTGGAAGGGCTGGGACAGTCTGAGGCACAGAAAAACCCAATAATCAGAAATGCAGCTCACACACATACACACACACATCAAGGTGATGGGTTACCCTGAACTTCATTTTCATTTGCTTTGTAAAAGCCTTGCGTTTTTTGCTGTCACAACCTCAACCTCTAACACATTTTGTACTAAAGGGCCAGGAAGAGAAACTGAAACTCCTTTAAAACTGACTCAGCTGAACAAAACAAACACTGTTAAACCATAAACCCTGTCCCAGGATCCTGGTAAGAATTCAGTGAATACTGAAAGGAAGAGACAGAGATGAACACCTATGATGGCATCAAACACAGGAATTGCTTTTGTGCTCTATTAAATCTGATTTTTTGCTGGTGTTTAGGACAAAAGTGTTTCTATTGGGAAGATCATTGCTGGAATATCTGGCACTGACCGAAACACAACTAAAATCCCACAAGTCCCAGGTGTCTATGGACTGAGTTCAGTGCTTATTTCTTGTCACACAGAACATAAAAAAAGGCACAAGAAGAATTAAAATATTATCTAACAACCCCCTCACACAACAGCAAGGATGTAAAAATGCCTGTTTCAAATGCACACTGGCTGAGTTCTCAAGTCTCTCTCTCACACAGTTAAAATAATGATTTAATGTTCTGTTTATGAACCTGGTGCAGGAGATAAATCAAAGTTCTTCTACTCACCCCAAGTTTCAATCCAGCAATACACACAGGCATGGAAGCAGTCCATGAAAGCCATGGGGACCACTGCCATGCCACAGAGGTGTGTTAGCGCTTTACTGGGCCTAGCAACACTCCCTGCTGTTCCCAAACACTTCTCCATTCTGCAGACCATCAGGGCTCTGTCTTATGCCAAGACACTCAATGGCAGCTTTGGATCTTGGAAAAAGGATCTCTGCTCGAGGTGTAAGAGGCTGTTGTTACTCCTGAGTCAAGGAGAACGGGTGGAGGTGAGGTGCTGCTCTCTCCCACAGCTCTCCTGCCTGATCCCCCTTCTCAGACCTGCCCCACAAATCACAAATACTGAAGCAAATGAAAAGCAGGTGTTTTACACCCTCTGGAGCTCCATAAATGCTTTTACTGCAGCCTCAGATCCCAGCACCCAGCACAAGTGACCTGGGCTGACCCAGCCCTGGCACTCTACACTTCCAACACTCCTTCCTCACAGGTCTCTGCCTGCCACAGCCATGATGAGCCCCCAGATCACTCCAGACCTTCCCCTCCATCTCCTGCTGCCACACACAACTCCTTCAGGGCATCAGGTTTTATTGGAACAAGCTGTAATGTACTAGCAGGGTCATTTCAGACCCAGCCCATAGCTAATAGGTGAATTAAAACACAACAACAGAACCAATTGTGTGGGGTTTCACGCCAGGACTTGCACCACAACTGCCACAGTATTGCAAAACCAGCAACAACAAATGGAGGTCAATTCTAGGGGAAACTTCCTAAGTTCCAAGCACCCCCAGCTCTCCACTCCCCCAGCCATGGAGCTGATCTGCCCCATGCTGCTCCAAGGGAGCCATTTCCAGCTCAGAGTCCTCCTGCACACGGCAGAATTCAGCAGAGAAGCACTGTGTCACCTGGCAGCTCCCTGGAGAAACACCCAGCATTTCTGTGCCTGCACTCCCCAAACCCCAGGGCATGGATGGAACAGCCTGCTGGCAGCTAACACCCCTGAAATCACCCTTAACACAAGCCAAGTTAAGGTAAAGGCAAATAAAAGTATTTATTTACAAAATGTAAAACCAGACAACATAGTTACAGGCATTTATAAAGGTACACACAACAGAAAGGAAAGGAAGTGATGTTAAATATATTTACTGCAATGAAACTGGGAATGACATTCTGCACAAACATCTCAGGGGTTTACTGGAGCAGGAGAGCCCCAAGTGCAGCTCCCACCTGTGCTGAGGATTTGGGTGCCCAACCATCAAATTCTGAGGGATTCCATGAAAATGCTGGCTAAGTTATATCCCCTGTGCTTTTGGTGCTGTAGAAGAGCCACAAGAAAATTCCTTCTGTGCCTCAGGGAGTGAACTGACCAGTATCAGAAAGGTCTTGAGAAACAAAATGCACCAAGTGCTGAGATGGCTTTGTCAGAAATTGATGGGGAGGCTTTGGGGTTTGGCTTTGGAAGGTGTGAGAACAAGGCTTCAGGCAACATAAACTTAAAAATAGTAACCTCTCTTAAATATTTAATTTACTTAATTACAACAGCCCCCAGAAATGTTCTTTAGAAGAAATTTCAAGGGGCAGAACACTTGCTTTGGTGTTTTTAGTTTATTATCCATACAAACAGATTCTCCTTTGGAAGGCCATGTGCAAGACAGCCATCGGAGAAAAAGTGACTGGAAAGCTAAAAAATGAATACATCCAGAAGAAGTGACTTTCAATTTTTAGTTGATTACATTCCAGTGTGATGTTCTTGCTCCAAGACTGGTGGGACAATTTTAATTAGCACTACATACATTACTGTGCAAATCTCAACGTATTATTAATTAACCTCTGAGGAAACTGAACGAGGAAGTTTTTTCACCTTCCAGCTCCAGTTTAAATTCTGTTGAGACCAAGAAGCACCAGCTGCCAGAAGCAGGATGGGTGCAGGCTGCTTCATGTGAGCATCCCCATGTGCAGAGCTCAGCTCCTCAGCTCAGTGCAGTGTTAGGCAGCACCTTTTTAAGCGCCTTTTTTGTTTTCCCAGACTGCAGCTGGGCACCAGACTGCCCAGGTGATGGGTTTGGTTTTCTTACATGATAAGCTCTCCTTGCCCTCCTTACCTCAATGGCTGGCTTGGGGAAAACGTCGTCCTTGCCGTCGTCCTTGCCGTTCTTGTCCACGGGAACCCACTCTCCATACACACTGTCTGCCTCCTTCTTCCTATGCTGAGACCCAGAGGACACAGGGAACTCCTTGGACAGGCTGACCTGGTTTTTTGGTTGGGGTGGTGGTGCTGGTTTTATGCTGGGAGTCTGAAAGAAATAAAATGAGAAAAAGTTCAGGCTTGGAAGTACCCACGAGTCATGAGGTGGTTTTGTTGCAAACACCTGGGATTTGGTTTTTAGTTATTCTAGAGCAATAAGCCTTTAAAATTCATCATTTTGGCACAGCCCTAAAAACACACAAGTGACCCACAAATTGTGCTATCAGAGAAGATGAGAAACCCCTAAAAACAATTTCAGCAACCCAAAATCCCCAACCCTCCTCTCCCAGCCGACCCCATTCACATCAACAACAGATATTTTGTATGGAAAGCTCCAGGGTGAAAATCCTGGGCAGCAAAACATTGCCTGTGATCAAAAGCTGCCCATGAGTGGAGAGAAAACAGCTCTCAGCATTTGAGTTTCCATCCTGGCCTATTTTTAGCAGCAGCCTGAGTCTCTGAGCAGATGATGTCTGTGGCCTTGTTTTGCTTGGTGCTGTTAATTCATTAAAATCTGCAGAAATCCCTGCCAGGTTCCCTTCCAAGAGGCAAACACAGCTGGCAGCACTGGATAAGATTGGATAAACTCCGAGGAATGCGGATGGAAATGGTTTTAGGAGAGAGAAAGAACAAAACTGAAAGGGTCAAAACCAAGACAAGAGGGAGAGCAGCCCACAACCACTGCAGAGCACTCATTCCTCCTCGGAGCCTGGAAGAATTCCAAGGTTTCTTGAGTTTCCTTGTAGCCTTTTCTAACAATATAATATAAACTCTAAATCCACTTTTACCTTACACCTTATCTAAATGTGCATTACTGCTTATTTTGTATACAGCACAAGCTCTACCTATTTATATACAAAACCAGGAATATTATTTCTGTTTGTGCTGAGCACATTAAAGCTTTTTTAGTGCTTTATATCCTGCAAAATCAGAACAGACTTTCATGGGCACAACCACCCATCCCAAATAAAACAAAAAAAAAAAACCCCACCCACCACCCCAAACACAAAAAAAATTTAAACATATTCTAATCCATGCTTCAAAGCATTTGATTTCCAGATGCATTTAAAGAATTGCTCACAATTCTACCAATTGGTAAAACTGGATTATCAATTAAATCTTGATAGAATTGGGAATGTTCCTTTTAACTGATTAAAAAATACTCCTAGTTTCACCAAGATGATCAACCCTTGATAAATTTCTGCAGAATTACATGCATTATTTAAAAAGAACAAGGATTTATTTTTAAAGTAAATGTAAGTAAAATATTAAAAAATGTAAGTAGCACTTATAAAAATATAAGTACAACATATTTTTACTTATATTTTTGTAAGTAAAATAATAAAAATATAAGTAGCACTCACACTTAAATTGAAGAAAATAGGTTTGGGTTCACTCAGCTTGAAAGGATGGTTATAGAAAGGACGTTCCTCCTCCTCCTCATCAGAAACGTGAGGCTTGTTCACTATCACATCATCAGTGCTCTGAGCAATCTTCTTGCATTTCTGAAAAGTAAAACAGGGAAATGTCAGCTCTGAGTAAACCTAAACTTTCAACCCAAACTCACAAAACACATTTCTATAAAAAAAAAAGTGGGTTTTTTTTTACCAAACCAGGAATGGAAAATCTTTTAGCAACAGCACCAACAGATGTACTTTGGGTATTGTACACAAATTATCCAACCACGGCTTTGCCAGGCACCCCTTGGTTACTGACTCAGCTCTCTGGGGCCCTGTCAGAAGTGATGGCTCCAAGAGAGCTCAGATCCTTCTGGAATACTCTGTGCTGGCCAGCTGTGCAAGCCACCCCCTTCTGCTGTGCAACAGAACAGAAACACAGAGGTGTTGTGGGGATACCACAAACTGGGAGCAGCCTCCAAGGGGGGAAAAGAAAAGAGAGGAAGAAAAGAACCAAAGGCCAAAAGACTGTCTCAAAGGGCCAGAATTTTATGGTTAAAATGTCTTTACTGATTTTTTAGCACCTGCACTGCTCTGTGGACAGTTCTGAGTCAAAAGAACAGAAACACAATTCAACATCATTCAATCTCCAAGGCTGGAAAGGGAAGGGAGGTGCAGATGTGGGGCTGGCAGATCAGCACGAGCTGTGCTGGATCTTGGTCAGGGTATGTGAAAAACCACCCTGGGTGTGACCACAGGGCACCTGCACCAACTCAGCTCTTGCTCAGAACCTCTGCTCCCCCAGCCCAGGCACAACTGCAGATTATCTCTCAGCACCTGGACATTGCTCCCTCTCAGATTATTTCTATGAACACAAGTTCAGAACTGTCACACTCATGATGCAATTAAAAGAAAATTAAGGCACTTTTCTATTCCAGACTTTCTCCATTTGAGGGAAGTCCAAGGCCAGGCTGGACAAGGGTTGGAGCAACCTGGGACAGAGAAAGGTGCTCCTGCCCATGGCAGGGGGTGGGACAGGCTGAGCTTTGAAGCTCCTTCCAACTCAAGCCATAACTAACACCACCAGAACAAAAAATCAGCAGTGAAAGCTTTGGATTTCACTGACAGGACTGCAGGGACAACCACCAATTTGTACAAAATTAGAACAGAATCAAAACCAAAAATATGAAAAACCAAAATAATTTGGTTTCATGCATTTCCAAAGAATTAAAAAATAGCAGTATTTTTTTCTGATGACTTAAGAAAACCTGTGGGGAGAATAAGGGCTCAAAGGAGTGGTCAGGCCTTGGCAGGGGCTGCACAGGGCGGTCTGGAGGTGGCCAAGGAAGGCCTGGAGGTGGCACTGAGTGCTCTGGCCTGGGGACAAGGTGCCCATGGGGCACAGCTGGCACTGCATGGGCTGGCAGGGCTTTGCCAGCCCCAGGGATTTGGGGATTCTGAACTTGGGGCAGCTCCCAGTGACAGCAGCACACAGTGACAACCTCCCACAGGTCACCAAGCCCAGTGTGCTCATTTCCGGGCTGGATGCTGCTGTTCCCCCTCACCTCAGTGAGCTCCTTCAAGGTGTCCCTCGAGGACTTCTGGTTGGCTTTGTCATCCTTCTTCTGGGACAGCAGAGGCATCAGGCTGGGGGGCAGGGGCACGCCGGACTTCGCACACATGGCGGCTGCGTTGGCCTTGGCGATCTCCAGGAGCTGCGCCTTGTCTAAAAACATTGGGGTTTTTTTCACAGAGAAGTCATTATTTTTATAGATTCTCGTTTTAATAATAAAGAAATGTCTCTGGTAAATTACACAAGATTCTACCTGCACTGTGCATTTTTTATGTTCTGTGAAAATAACTGGAATTGTACTGAGCTGCTCCAGACTTTAAGCCTGGGCTGTGCAGAAGGCCAAGTGAAACTGCAATGTAACCCAGCACTCCCAGCTTCAACATCCTCCAACCAGCCTGTTCTGATGCCTCTGACTTCACTGATTTATTCCTGCCCTGGCATTACTGAGTCCTTCCTCCACAGCATAAACTCCAGAGTTTCCTCATTATCTACCTCTGAAAAGCTCTCAAACCTCTGGAGGAAGCCTCATCTCCCCAGATGTAGCCCAAAAGCTACTTACACCCACCAAACAGAAAAACAAGCTCTGAGGAAGTAAAACATGCTCTTGCTTAAAATACCATTAGATGCAAAACTGTTAGCAGAGCAGTATTTTGCTTGAATAAGGAGAAAAAGGACAGCCCTAACATAGAAATAGCAAACGAAATTAAATTAAGCCTTCTGCCAGTTTGCAAGTAACTCCCTGACTGGAAGGCTTCCATGGCAACTCTGAGGCAGGACTGGAAGGCTCAGAACCTCAAGTCCACCACAGGAGGTTTCCTCACACTCCGTACAAGAGTTGATCTCCCAGTTCAAACCTTCTTTCCCCTTATTAACTCATTACCCAAGAAACAACACAGCCTCTCTTCCTCCAAGCTCAGAGAAAAGATGCAGCTCTTAAGATTTTATTTTATTTTATTTTCCGACCTGCTGGGTCTGGGAGTATTTTCACAAACAAGTGTCTCTTTCCTTTATGTTCTTACCATGGGAAGAGGCAAGACAGAGTTCTGGGAACAGCTGACAACAGAGCCTGGGACTCTCCAACTGGCACCTGAATGACCTTTGTTCTCAGGAATAAAAATTCTAAATTTTCTTACATACAAGTACTTGAAGTACTTGGCCTTTACTATTATTCAGAATGTTCCTTGAGGCTGAAACTACACTACTTTTGTACAAAAGCTCTAAAACCAAGGTAAAACTGGCTCTAAAGAGGCATCCATTCAAATGCTCAGCATTGATAAACCTTCCTGCTGGAAGTCACTGCCTGAGATTATTGCACAGAGTGACTTCTAAGAAATCCCTTATGAATGAATGTGCAAACCCACCCCACCACCCCACCACGGAGCCAGTGAAACAAAGCACTTACCCAGGTCTGTGAGGCGTTTGGGTGACCTGCTGGAGAACTCGGAGGAGCGGGAGCGGCGCCGGTCGGGGGATCTGCTGTAGCGCCTCCTGCCCGAGGAGCGCGAGCGCCGCAGCCGGATCGGGGAGCGGCTGGAGCTCCTCCTCCTGCCCCTGGAGCGCGAGCGCCGCTGCCGCAGAGGGGTCCGGCTCCTGCTCCGCAACCGCAGCGAGATCCTGCGGTCCCGGGAGTCCGATCTTCTCCTCCTCCTGTCAGTGGACCTCGACCTGTTTCTCTGAGACCTCTTGCGCCTGTCTCTGGACAAGGAACGCCGCCTTCGTGACGCCGACCTCGACCTGCTTCTCCTCCTGTGCCTGGAACGTGACAGGGAGCTGGAGCGAGACCGGGACGCTCTTCTCCGAGTGGCTGACCTGGAGCGATTCCGCCTGGAGCGCGAGTCCGCGTCGTATCGCTTGGACCTGCGCTGGGAGGACCTGGAGCGCCGGCTCCTGGACCTGCGCGAGGACTCCTTGTCTGCTGCCTTCTCCACAGACTTGGACTGGCTCCTCTGGCGAGCAGCAGACCTGGAGCGTCTCCGCCTGGACCTGCGTGAGGACTCCTTGTCTGCTGTTTTCTCCACAGAGGTTGACTGGCTCCTCTGGCGAGCCGTGGACCTGGAGCGTCTCCGTCTGTACCTCCGCACGGACTCCTTGTCTGCTGTTTTCTCCACAGATGTGGATCGACTCTTTTGGTGAGCAGGAGACTTTGAGTGCCTGCTTACAGATCTCTGTGGAGACTCCTTGTCAGATGCTTTATCAACAGATTTAGATCTGGATTTTTCACGCTCGGAAGACTCAGAACGTCTGCTTTCAGGGACAAAGGAAGAGTCCTGTCCCTCTGACTGCTCAAGAGGCACGGAATCCTGCTTTTCCTCGTCTGCCAAAGAGGGTTCTGCCTCCTCTCCCTCCTCTTCACCACTGGAAGACTCTGACTCATGCTCATCTGACGAGGTGGACTCTCTTTGTTCAGCTGTCAAGGAGGGCTCTGCATCCTCTCCTTCCTCTTCAGCAGTGGTAGACCTCGATTCAGCCCCATCAGGGGATGCGGAACGCCTGTGTTCAGCTGTCAGAGGTTCCGCATCCTCAGCTTCTTCACCGGCAGTAGACCTTGACTCTTGCTCGTCTGAGGAGGTGGAATCTCTTTGTTCAGCTGCCGAGGAGGGTTCCACATCCTCTGCATCTTCACCAGCAGTAGACCTTGACTCCTGTTCATCTGAAGACGTGGAGTGTCTACGCTCAGCTGTCAATGAGAGCTCCTGGTCCTCTGCTTCCTCACCAACGGTGGACCTTGACTCACGTCCATCAGGAGACACAGAGCGACGATCAGCTGTCACATCCTCTGCTTCCTCATCAGCTGAAGACCTTGACTCGTGGTCATCAGAAGATGTGGAGTGTCTACGTTCAGCTGTCAAGGAGGGCTCCCCATCTTCTACATCTTCCCCAGCAGCAGACCTCGACTCACGGTCATCAGAGGATACGGAATCTCTTCTTTCAGCTGCCAAGGAGGTCCCTGCGTCCTCTGCCTCTTCTCCAATGGTTGACCTTGACTCGTGCTCATCAGAGGACTCAGAGCACCTACGTTCTGTTGTCAAAGGCTGCTCCAGATCCTCTGCTTCTTCACCAGTGCTAGATCTTGACTCGTGCTCATCAGGGGAAGTGGAACGCCTCTCCAGATCATCCATTTCTTCATCTGCAATAGACTTCTGGTCATGGCCCTCAGGGGACAGGGATTGTCTATGTTCAGAAGTCACAGAGGACTCCAGACCCTCTTCCTCCATGGGAGACCTTGGCTCACGACCTTCTTGACAGGAGGATGTGGAGTCTCTACGCTCAGATCTCACAGAGGGCTCCAGATCCCCCGTTTCTTCTCCAGGGCCCACACTGCAGTTATCAGGAGACACTGAGCGTCCTTCAGGCAATAAAGAAGGCATTGCACGATCCATTTTTTCGGCAGGGATGGAATTCAAGTCGCTGCCATCAGGGGACATGGAGGCTCTATCATTCACTCTCAATGGTTCAAGACCATCTACTTTTTCAACAGTGGTGAATCTCAACTCCTGCCCATCAAGAGATGCTCCATGTTCATCTTCAGGTGTTGGAGACTGGTCCCGCACATCTGCTTTCTGAAGAGAGGTGAAACTCACCTCCTGGCTCTCAAAAAAGAGATGGTCACGTTCAGCTGCCACAGTAGAATCCACACCTTCTGCTTCCTCAGCACGCTCCAATCTTGACTCGCGTTCTTCAGGTGACAGAGCATGTTCAGATGTCAGAGAAGGTTCCTTGGCTAGAACTCTTTCAGCAGGGCTGGACTGCAGCTCCTGACCTTCAGGAGTCATGGAACACTCTCCTTCAGACAAGGACAACTCCGGCCCCTCTGTTTTTCCAGCAACAGCAGGCTGCAACTCCTGGCTATCACTGGACATTGAACTTTCACTTTCAGATGCTTCAGAATGTTCCTCCAGTTCTTTTTCAACAGGACTGGATCCCAAGTGATGCCTTTTGGGGGATGCCTCGTATTCGTTTTCAGACAGCACAGAACAGTCCTGCACCTCCTGCCCCTCGGGAGATACAGCATAGTGGACCAGCACTGGCTGCTGCACTGCTGTGCTTTTGGTGGGGCCACACTGCAGTATCTGGCCTTGATGGAAGATGGAACATTCACTGCCAGGTGTCAGAGAAGGTTCTTGCAGGTCCTTCTCAGCAGGGCTGGCCTCAGCCACCTCCTGGCCCTCAGGAGACTCGCTATATTCACTTTCAGGCAGCAGAGAACGCTCCTGCACTTCTGGTTCCGGAACCACAGCCTCCTCCTGCATCTCTGCCTTCTCAGGAGAGCTGGACCTCAACTCCTGGCCCACCCAGGACACGGCATGATCATTTTCAGACACCAGAGCAGGCTGTTGTATCTGTGTCTCTTCAGCAGAGGGTGACTGCAGGTCCTGGCTGTCGATGGACTCCAGACATCTTTCTTCAGGCATCTGATAAAGCTTCCTCAGCTCCGTTTTTTCAGCAGGGGTTGATGTCAACTCCGGGCCATCAAGCCCTACTGTGTACTCATTTTCAGTCACTTGAGAAGGCTCCTCAGCTCTTTCAGAAGTGGTGGATGACAACTCATGACCATCGGAGGCAACAGAACACCTGCGTTCCCGTACCAGAATGGGCTCCTGCACTTCTTCACTGCAGGCAGATCTCAGCTTGTAGCCATCAGGGGATGCCAGGTGTTTCAGCTCAGATGAATTCAGCATTTCTGCTTTCTCTGCAGGGACAGGTCTCTGCTCATGACTGTCAGGCAACAGCAGAACCCCACCTTCTGATGGCACAGCAGCCACTGGGGGCTGTAGTTTTTCAGGTGTGCCCACTGATTCACAGCCGTCAGCAGACACAGAGAAGCCACTTTCCAGTGAGAGAGGCTTCTGGATCTCCACTTTTTCAACTGCAGCAGATGCCAATTTATAGCCTTCAGGTAAGATGGAACACCGGAGCTCAGATGCCACGGACAGGTCTGCACTCTCAGTTTGCTCAAAGGAGTTGTACTTTGCTTTGTGGCCATCGTGGCATATGGGAATCCCACTTTTAGACATCACCAAAGATCCTGCACCGTCTATTCCTGCAGTCAGGTATCTTGATTCGTGCATTTCTGAAGATCTGGAGCAGTCAACCTCAAGCACTTGTGGAAGCGTTGGACCATCTAAAGCTTTGTCAACAGATGGTCTGGACTCATGAACTTCAAAAGAAGACACTGAAATGATGTCAGCAGACACCTCAACAGAACCACACACAGATGTCAGGGAAACATCTGGAGTCTTGACTTTTTCTACAGATAAAAATCTTTGTTCATTTCCATGTGGTGACTTAAAAGACTCGCCTACAGACAATGGATGCGCCTCCATTGGTGCAGCGAAGCTGGATCCTGATCCATGTCCATCAGGAGACACAAAATGTCCACCGTCAGAAGCCAGAGAAGGCTCCTGCGTCTGGCCTGACTCACAGCCATCAGGGATCACAGGGCGGATCATCTCAGGTGGCAGGAAAGGCCTCTGAGCTTCCACTGCTCCAGGGCTGTCAGCCAGCTGGGAAGACTCACGTTCAGGTACCTGCAGAACCTGTGAGAGCTCTTTGTGCTCACCAGGGATATGCTGCGAATCGTGACCATCAGACAAGTTGGAGACTCCACCTTCGGACAGGAGAGCTGACCGAAGTTCCATCTCTCTTTTTAGTGCTGGAGGAAGCTCTGGACCTTCTACTTCTTTGAGAGGTGCAGTTCTGGACTCACCTTCACGGGATGCAGAGACATGAAATTCTGCTACTGAAGAAGTTTCTAGATCTCCTCCTTTTTCAACAGATGAGGATCTTGACTTGGATGTGGAGTATGGAAGTTCAGGTAGCAATGAAGACTCCAGAGCTGCTGCTTTTTCAGTTGATCCATTTTCAGATGTCACAGACAGCTCTGAATCCTGTGTTTTTTCCACAGATGTGGATCTCAGTTCCTGGTCATCTGGGGTTTTGGAAGTATCAAATTCAGATGTGGTAGAATGCTGCAGATCTGCTGTTTTTTCAACAGATGAGGACCTTTCCTCAAGGCTCTCTGAAGTTTTGGATAATCCACTTCCAAATGATGGTGGCAGCACTGGGCCGTTTACTCCATCAGACAAAGCCACTGATGTGGGACCATTAGAGGATTTATCGTCACTTCCAAAAGAAGACTGAGGAACATCTTCATCAAGACCTTTGGCTGACTCCTGAAGTTCAGAAGACTCATGCTTGCTACTGGATTTTGCTGAGGATGACTTATCCTTTTTTTCTACAGATTTGGACCTTGACTTAACACTGTCAGAGGACTTGGAACGTTTCCGTTTGGATTTTTTTGAAGACTCCTTGCGCTTTTTTTCCACAGACCTAGACCTAGACTTGTAACGCTCAGAAGATTTTGAGCGTCGACGCTTGGATTTTCGTGAGGATTCCTTCTTTTTTTCCACAGATTTGGATCTAGACTTGTAGCGGTCAGAGGACTTGGAGCGCTGACGTTTAGACTTCCGCGACGATTGCTTTCGATCCCTTTTTTCTACTGACCGGGACCGAGACTTGTAGCGATCCGAGGACTTTGAGCGCTGACGTTTGGACCTCCGCACAGACGCCTTCCGACCTCTTTTCTCAACAGATCTTGACCTGGATTTTGAACCATCAGAGGAACCAGACCGATTCCTGAACCTCCAGGAGTACTCTTTGCCTCCTCCCTTTTCTGAAGACCTGGATCTAGATTTTGAACGGTCGGAGGACCTGGAATGTCTGCGGCGGGATCGCCAGGAGGACAACCTCTTTTCCGCTGACCGTGACTTAGACCTGTAGCGGTCAGACGACCTGGAACGTCTGCGCCCGGATCTTCGGGAGGACAATCGCTTCTCCACTGACCTGGACTTGGATCTGTAGCGGTCGGAAGACCTGGAACGTCTCCGCCCGGACCGTCGGGAGGACAATCGCTTCTCTGCTGACCTGGACTTGGATCTGTAGCGGTCAGAGGACCTGGAACGTCTGCGCCCAGACCTTCGGGAAGACAATCGCTTCTCCGCTGACCGTGACTTAGACCTGTAGCGGTCGGAAGACCTGGAACGTCTGCGCCCAGATCTTCGGGAGGACAGCCGCTTCTCCACGGACCTGGACTTGGATCTGTAGCGGTCAGATGACCTGGAGCGTCTGCGTCTGGACCTTCGGGAGGACAGCCGCTTCTCCACTGACCTGGATTTAGACCTGTAGTGGTCAGACGACCTGGAACGTCTCCGTCTGGACAATCTCTTTTCTGCTGATCTGGATTTAGACCTGTAACGGTCAGATGACCTAGAATGTCTGCGCCTGGACCGCCGGGAAGACAATCTTCTCTCTCTCTTCTCCACAGAGCGGGACCTAGATTTGGAATGCTTTTTTCTGGAAACTGAATAGTTTCTGCTCCTAGAACGCGCTCTTTTAGAGGTCAAACGCCTGGAAGTGGAACGTGACCTTGATTTTTTCTTCCGCTTCCTAGACCTGGACTGAGACTTGGAACGGCTCCTTTTCTGTTTCTTTGAATCATGTTTTTTCTCACTGGTTCTATGACTACTTTTTTCAACAACATTCTCAAGCCTCATGAGAGTCTCCTTCATTCGTGCTGCCACATCAGGCTGCACATCAGATGTTTCTGAGTCTCTTTTCTCTGAGTCCTCTTCAGGAGTTGCTTCTTTGACATCCTCAGCCTCTGGAGTGTCTTCCAACTGGCCTTCCTCTATAAGTTCTGGACCTGCTTCTGCATCAGTCTCAGGTGCTGGACCTGCTTCCAAGTCTTTTGTCTCTGCCTCCAACCCTGCAGCTGCTTCTGCATCTTTCAGCTCTACATCAGTACGAGGAGCTGTTTCCAAATCTTGTGTTTCTGCTACAGGAGTTCCTGCTGAAACCTTTTCCTCTGCTGCATGTGAAGAACTTAAAACTGTTTCTGCTACTGAAGGCTCAGATGTTTGAGTCTCTTCTGCATCTTCCTTCTCAATCACCATATCCTCCACCTGTTGACCCTGTACTCCTTCTACATATTGTACCTCGGCTGTCACTTCATGTTCCAGTGTGGTTTCCTGGCCTTTCACATCCCCTGGTTTTGGAACTGCTTCAGAAGATTTTATTTCAGAAACACCCAAGATTTCTGGAGCCTCTTCTGAACTCTTCCATTCTGCAGCAGGTTTTGCTTCTAGAACTACTTGAAGATCTTGTTGCTTTTCAGCATGCAAGTATTCTGGAACAGCTGCTGAAGCATCACCCATGGGTACCTCAAGCTTTTCACCTGTTTCAGAACCTTTCACCTCTACTGTAGCAGACTCTGTTGTTCTCTCTAACCACCTCGTTCCTCCAGCTTCTGATGATGGTTCCAGATATTTTGCTTTCTCCATTTCTGAGAGCTCATTTCCTTGTGTGCTGGTCCTCCTTGCTGCAATTTCATGTTCTACAGTAGATCCCTGAGTTTGCATATCTGTCAGTACTCCTGACGCCATACTGTTTTCTTCCACTCTGGGCAAAGACTCCAACACTGCTGCTGAATGACCTACTCTTTGTTCCTGAATAGATTTTGAACTGGTTTCTGAAGTTTGCACAGTTCCTAGGATTGCTTCTCTGCTCCTTGTGTCTGCTTCTGGAACGTGTTCCGAATCCCTTCTCTTCCTCAGCACCTCAGTGTGTGAGGGTCCTGTGTGTGCCATGATCTGTGACTGTGCAGTGATGGAACTCTGTGTCTGGCTTGCATGGAGAGGTTCTCTCTCTGCTGTGGCTTGCCATGGCATCACCCCTGCTGATGCCTCAGCTTCTCTAACTGGTTCCACACTTTCACATGCAACCACAGGTTCAGGAGTCCTTTCTAAGGCAGGAAGTCCTGGACTTGCAACAGTCCCACAATGCACAGCTTCTTCTGAAGCTTTCACACCTTCTACTTGTAAGGACATTGAAGCTGTTGTGAAAGGTTTTGCTTCCACCCCAGCCACTGGTCTCAGGACTCCTCCTAGACCTTGTGTGTTTTCCTTCTGCAAAGACAGGGAAGGTGCCAAACCTCTCACATGTGATTCACTCTCAGGTCTTGATTCTCTCAGCAATGAAGTACCTTCTGGATCTTTTGCTCGTGGACTTCTAAAACCCTCTGCCATGTGGACTTGTGGAGCTGTTTGGGGAATGAAGCTCTGTACAACTGCTGCAGGTTCTGAAGTTGCTCCTAATCCTCTTGTCTCTGCAACCACGTTCATACCTGTCAATCCTGCTGGAAGTGCAGATCCCTGGGTTCTGTCCACACTCCTTGTTTCTGCCAAGACTCCATGCTGTAGGAACACTCCTGATGCACCCACTGCTGTTGCATAACCAGTGGTTCCTTCCACACTTCTGCCTTGCAGACTCTCATGAGCTGCTCTAACATCTTTTGCTACAACAGGCTCTATGGTTGTTTCTAAAGCTTTCACACTCCCCACAGCAGGTTCCATATCCTTCATTTTTGTAACAGCTCCTGGTCCTGGAGGTGTTTTGGCACTTATTTCCACGTGGGTCACAGGGGTGGCTGCAGATACTGTCACAGGATGTTGCAAAGGTACGCCTGCTTTCAGAACACTGGAAGCCTCCAAAGGGCTGCCCTGGGTCATGCTCAAACTCCCAGACATTATTGAGGGCTGCAGGGATGGCTCCAACGTTCTGCTCGCACCCCCCAGTTCCAAAGGTCTCTCCACACTTGTCACATTTCCCACATGTAGAGATTTTTCAGTTGTTTCTGGAATTTTCACTTCTTGCCCAGCCACAACCATGTGAGCTACAGTCACAGCACCTGGATGTGCCCAATTTGCAGGTGTAGGGGTTGTTGTCACACCACTTGCCAGGGACACGGATTCTGAAGCTGTTCCTAACCCCTGTGCTGCCCTGTGAGACACAGACTGATGAGACACTTCCGAGTAAGTCAACACCTCCATGGTCTCAGGCTCCAGAGCTGCGTCCGAAGCTTTTACTTCCCCAATGCCTTGAGATTTAAGAGTGACTTCTGTACCTCCCAGTGCTTCTACTGAATCTTTCTGAATCTCTGATTTATTGACAATTCCAGATGGGATGCTGGACCAAGTATTATTTCCAGTATCAACAACACTGGCATTAATAGCTACAGGATAAATATTTTCATGTGACTGCTGAATTTGTTCTTCGCTAGTGCAAATTCTAGTTTGAGCTATACTAGTATTTTCTGGGATATTAGACTGGATGCTTGCTAAATTAAATGGAGGATTTGCTGAACACAAAGTCCCCTCCCCACTTGGAAGATTTTCTGCAGATTGTTGAGAATCAGTCACTGAATGCGAAACAAGTCCTAAAGCTTGATTATCAAGCCCCTCAGCAGGTTTGGAGCACAGTTCTGGCTGCACCAGGTTTGCCTCTGCAAACACTCCTTGCTGTACATTCACCTGGGAGCTGGACTGCTCTGGCACCAAGGGAGGGGCTGGCTGCACGCCTGCAGGCTCTCCGGGGCGCGCACTCAACTTGGATTCCTTTGGTTGCTTTTTATGCTTCTTCTCTTTCTTCCTTTTCTTCTTCTTTTTCTTCTTCTTCTTGCTTTTGTGCTTCTTGTTTTTCTTTGCTTTTTTTCTAGGAATTTCATCTTCACCTGTAGAGCTCCTTTTTGTAGACTGAGTACTATTTTTCACAGTATTTTTGTCTACATCTAGAAAAAATGACATTTACCTTGTAAACATTTGTAAGACTGCATATAAAAATTCTTTCAGATTAGTTGTAAAGTATGGACAGAGGTACAAAACAATTCAACTTGCAAACCATGCCCAATTCACTTAAGTTCCACACACACAAACAGGACACACTCCCTTCCCAGCTCTCTTTCTTCCGTCTCAGAGTTACTTTAGGTAATAAAACAACACTTCTTTCAAAAAATTATCCAAATCTTGCTAGTCAGGACAGAGGCCCAGAGGGAACACAGCTCTTTCCAAGTAGTATCATAGTCATGGAATTGTTTGGGTTGGGAGGGACCTCAAAGCTCATCTTGTTCCACCCTGCCATGGCAGGGACACCTCTCACTGTCCCCAGTGTCCAGCCTGGCCTTGGGCACTGCCAGGGATGCAGGGGCAGCCCCAGCTGCTCTGGGCACCCTGTGCCAGGGCCTCACCACTCTCACAGGGAAGAATCTTCTCCTAATACATGATCTAACCCTGCCCCATGGCAGTGAAAAGCCATTCCCTTGAAGAGAGGAGGAGAGGATGATTCTGGGAATTACCACCCTGTCAGCCTCACGTCCTTGCTGAGATCATGGGACAGATCCTCCTAGAAGTTCTGCTAAGGCACATGGAGGACAGAGACGTGATTTGAAACAACCAGCATGGCTTCACAAAGGGAAAATCCTGTCTGACCTTCTGTGGTGGCCTGGCTACACCAGTGGGCAAGGGAAGAGCTACAGATGGCATTTATCTGAATTGCTGTAAAGTATTTGACCCAGTGCCCCCACAACCTTCTCCTCTCCAAACTGGAGTGAAGAATTTGACAGGTGCACTGTCAGGGGCATTAGCAGTTGTCTGGATGGCCACATCCAGAGGACAGTGGTCAAAAGCTCAGAGTCCTGATGGACATCAGTGAGCAGTGGTGTCCCTCAGGAGTCTGTACTGAGAACAGTGTTACTTAATAGCATCATTAATGAATCAGTGTTACTCAATATCTTCACTAATGACAGAAGGCTCAAGTGCATCCTCAGCAGTTTTGCAGGTGACACAAAGCTGCAGGTGCAGGTGACACCTCTGAAGGATGGGGCCATCCACAGGGATCCGGACAAACTCAAAAAGTGCCCCATGGGAATCTGCTGAGGTTTAACAAGGCCAGGGGTTGCACTTGGGCTGGGGCAACCCCTGGGATCAATCCAGGCTGGGATGAGCAGAGGGAGCAGCGCTGGGAGAGCTGGGCCTGCCCCAGCCCCGAGCCCCCCCTGCCCTGGGCTGAGCCCCAGCTGGGATCAGGAGAGGGACTGGGATTGTGTCCCTGTGCCCCTCAGGTGATTCCCCACCTGCAGAGCTGCCCCAGCCCAGGGAGGAGCTGGAGCTGCTGCAGAGAGACCAGAGGAGGCTCCAGGATGGGCAGAGGGATGGAGCAGCTCTGCTGGCAGGAAAGGCTGGCACAGCTGGCATTGCTCACCTGGAGAGACTTCAGGTGACCTAACTATGACCCTCCAGCACCTGGAAGTACAGTAAAGGTGGTGGTAACTACCGACAAGAGCCTGGAGTGACAGGACAAGGGACAGTGGGTTCAAAATGAGGGAGAGTAGGGTTAGATTAGATCATAAAAAAACATTCTCCCCTGTGAGGAAGGTGAGGCCTGGCACAGGCTGTCCAGGGAAGCTGTCCCATCCCTGGAGGTGTTCAAGGCCAGGCTTGACAAAGTTTGGAATAACTCTGGATAGTGGAAGGTGTCCCTGGTCTTGTCAGGGAGTTTGGAACGAGAGAACCTACAAGGTCTTCTTCCAACCCAAACCATTTTATGACTCCCCTGTGTGCTGTCCCTGCATCCCCTGGCAATTGTCTCTCTCCAGCTTTCCTCCAGCTCAAGGCCACCCTGAGCTCAGCCCAAAGCTTCTCCTGTGCAGGTGAGCAATGCCAGCTGTGCCAGCCTTTCCTGCCAGCAGAGCTGCTCCATCCCTCTGCCCATCCTGGAGCCTCCTCTGGGCTCTCTGCAGCAGCTCCAGCTCCTCCCTGCGCTGGGGCAGCTCTGCAGGTGGGAAATCACCTATGGGGGCACAGGAGGTGGATGTCCCACCACCCACATTCAGTGGACAGCACATCCTAACAGCAGGCTGGAGATGTGCTTTCAAACCCCCAGTGCTGCACATGGAAGATAAACAAGAATTCCCATTTTCCAAACAAATTCCCAAAGTGGGTATTTATGCTATGAGACCTGACCAGCCCTGTCCCCTGCTGTGCTTTAACCCCTGAGTGAGAGCAGTGCTGCTGCTGTGTTGGAAATTCCCTGGGTATTTACTGACCAAGTTACTCACTAGGGTCTAACAAATTTGGGAAAGAGCATCCATGCCTCCAGTCCCAAACCCACTTTAAGGCAGTGCAGGCTGGAACAGCTACAGGGACAGGCAGGACTGCAGCTGCAAAGCTGCATGTTCCTCTGAGAGCATTTGCTTCCAACAGGAAAGTAACAAATTGAGATGCCTGTGGGGACACGCAAATCACTGACGGGGAAAGGAAAGAGGGACGCTGGAGTTTTCATCACCACCTTTCAATTCTGTACCTTACCTCCCTCTGGTTTTAGCATTTGTTAGGTTCTTGCCCTTCTGGAGCCCCAGTGCCATGTTTTCATGTTTTCAGGAGAAAGGCACTTCATTAAAGGCAACTTGCTGGGATTTCTGTGAAGTATGAGCTGTACATTGGAGTCTGCTTGCATGTTCTTTTCAATGATTCTATTTATACAGGCCAGGGCAGCAACACAGACCCTCCAATCAGAATCTGTTATCCCAAAGCTCACTACTTTCCAGTATCCAAAATCTTGCAAAAGCATTTGGTTAACTGCAATACTATTAAATGAATGTGACTTGGGATTCCACAACAAGTACAGCAGGTACATATTTATGGGACAAGCAACTTAGGAATAGTTTTTGCACCAACACTGCTTTGAATGCATTGAGAGGGAACAGTGAAGGAGAGTCAAATTTAGGGACAAAATGTCCAGCCCACAGCTGGAAAGCTGCATTGCTCAGTGGGTGAGCAACTGGGCCAGGGGCTGGGCACCAATGGTGACAGTGACTGGGGTGACATGGGGCTGACACCAGTCACTACTGCTGGTGTCACTGACTGCTCAACAGTCACTACTGGGGTTCTGCAGGGCTCCATTCTCAGCCCAGTTCTCTTCAACATCTTCACTAACAACCTGGGCACTCAAAGGGATAATTACTCTGCTGAGGACACTAAATGGTAAGGAGCTGTTGACTCTCTTGAGGGCAGAGAAGCCCTGCAGAAAGACCTCAACAAATCAGAGAGATTGGCATTCCCCAGATGTGTGCAGTTTAACAGGGGAAGTGCTGGACTGGGCAACCCTGGCTGTGTGGATGGAGAGCAGCTGTGGGAAGGGCCCTGGGGGTCCTGGTCGGTGGTCAGCTGGAGCTGAGTCAGGAGTGCCCTGGCAACCAGGAGGGACATGAAAATGGTGGGAAAGGGTCAAGAGGGGCCCCCGAGGTGCCCTGGGCAGCCCAGGCTGGAGCAGCCTGAGCTCAGAGCTCCCCGGGGCTGGGGCAGGGTCAGAGGGCCCCGAGGTGCCCTGGGCAGCCCAGGCTGGAGCAGCCTGAGCTCAGAGCCCCCCGGGGCTGGGGCAGGGTCAGAGGGCCCCGAGGTGCCCTGGGCAGCCCAGGCTGGAGCAGCCTGAGCTCAGAGCTCCCCGGGGCTGGGGCAGGGTCAGAGGGCCCCGAGGTGCCCTGGGCAGCCCAGGCTGGAGCAGCCTGAGCTCAGAGCCCCCCGGGGCTGCAGCTCCTCCCGAGGGGCAGCGCAGGGACAGCTCCGAGCTCTGCTCTGGAACAGGGACAGCACCAGGGAGCGCCTGGGGCCGGGCCAGGCCAGCTCAGGCTGCACAGCAGGGCAAGGTTCTTGCCCAGAGGGTGCTGGCACTGCCCAGGCTGCCCAGGGAATGGGCACGGCCCCGAGGCTGCCACAGCTCCAGCAGCCTTTGGCCAGCACTGCCAGGGATGCCCAGGCTGGGCTTGGTGGGCTCTGGGCAGGGCAGGGCTGGCACTGGGGATCCCTGGGGGTCCCTGCAGCTCGAGACATTCTGGGATTCTATAAAATAACTTTTGTGCAAAGATAATTCATTAGATTCAGATAACCAGATACTGTCTCTTGTCCAACTCATTTTAGAGATGGACAATGGGAACATTTGCCACAGGTAGGTTTATTAACTCCCAAGTTCTTTATTACCATGTGACCTCGCCTCAGTCCTCCACACAAGAACACAACAAAAAATATACAAATAAAAATAAAAATCACATCACCAAACAAAAGCAACAAAAATCACCAACCAACCAAGAACCGACCCAAACCTCCCCATGTCAGCCTCAAGTGCTGCTCCTACAGCAGAAATTAAAAACCTGAAAATGCTCAAGGTGCACAAACCCCTGAGCAAAAAGCCCCAGAGCAATCCCAAACTCCTGCCAGCAGAATCTCTGAAATGAAAACTTTGCTGTGCTGCCTCTGGAACTGCACTCACCCAGCACTCTGCAGTCACCTGGGTTTGAACTCCCAAAAATGAGAAATGCAGTAATTACAGCCTTCATCACCTCACCAACCCTCCACAGGCAGAGATCTTATAGCAAGGACCAGTCCCACAAGAGGGGACACTCAGATGTGACTTTTTAGCCTTAAAAAATCGAGTAATTTATTCAAGATCTGAGACTGACACATCAAAATCCCTTTGCAAGACTGTAATATAAGTACCTACACTTTATAACAGCAAATCATCTTTTGACTGAACAGTTCATCACAGATCTGTTTTGTAATAAATGTTCTTTCAAAATAATCCTGAAAAGCAACCCAAAGCAGAAACTGCTTCTATCAGCATCAACTTTGGTACTAAGAACAGTTCAGTGAACCTGAAGTGTATGTGTATGTATATATATAAAATTATATATAAATATATATATATTGTATATAATCTTATATAATTGTATATAAAATAATTCAGAATTTATGGACATATATATGCATACATATGGAAAATATCTATCTGTTTCAGTACTGGAAAGAAAAAAAACTCCAACTTTCCCTCATACCAATGTTACATATAACCAGCTCAATTTTTAAATCATTTATTTCTCTGGCCACCTCTGGATGTAAAAGCACAGTAAAGAAAATATTTAACCACATTTAATGCTCAACTTGCCAGAGGAGCAGCACATTTTCATCTCTATAAATCTGATCTGATCTTAGGCACAGTCACAACCTTCTTACCAAGAAGAGAATTGCCAGAGGGAGTTTTATTACCTGGGTTGCACTGCAGCTCTGTCCCGAGGGCTCCGGAGAGCACTTCCTCTATTTTCTGCACTATCTGCTCACTCTGACAACTCCCAGCAGCTCCAGAGGCTTCGGAGGGCCCGGCCTGCTCAGCTGGGATCGTGTCACCATTGGGCTGCCCTTCCACGTTTGCACTAACCAAAAGAAATAAAGAATCAATTTAACACAAGCGATTTTGAGCATTGATTTCGATATTTTTTGTCGTTCACATACATTTATTATATCCAGCTCTTCAGAGCAGCACTCCAGCCTCCTGAAAAAGGCGTGCTCTTAGGGAAAACTCTGCCTTTCGATAAATTCTCACTTATTCAGCCCCGACACTCTGTGACTGCTGAGGTTGAGACGCAAGGAAAAAAAACCACCACATTCTGGAATGTGCCACATCTCCCGTGCTCGTACGGCCTTGTAGGGGTTTTCTGCACAAAATAAATACACGCAACGCGCTCTCTTCCAGCTTTTCCTTGCTCTTACCAAGGTTTTCCTTCTTTTACGAGATAAACTCGGCAAATTTAGCCGTAAATCAGACAAACCGTACAGGCGCCTGCCCCGACGGGAGGGCAGCACCGAAAGAGCGGAGAGAGAGCGGGTGGGCGCGTCCCCTCAGCGTCTTCTCTCGGCCCCCGGGCCGTGTCCCCCTTAGGGCGCCCGCTCGGCCGCGATCCCCCCGGTCCCGCCATGTTGCCGCCGACACGACCCTCAGGCCGCGGGCCGTCTCTCTCCGCCCCGCGTCCTTCCCCGCCGCTCCCCACCGCCCCGTTACCCGCCGTGCTGCTGCTGCTGCTCCTCCTGGATCTCCCGGAATTTGCTGACCACAAAGGACCGAAGGATCTGCTCAATATTCGTCGCCATGACACCCCCCCTTCCTTCCTGCCCCGACGCGAGGCCTCCAGCATCCCACAGTGCACCGCGACCCGGGGCGCGCGGTGACGTCCCCGCCGTCAGCCGCCTTTGCGATTGGCCGCGTTCGCTGTAAGCCGTGCCGCCATTGGCCGAGGCGGCGTGCGGCTGCGAACGGCCGCTCTAGCGCGGCGCACGGGCCATAGAGCAGCGGCGGGTTCCGGTGGGGGGGGAGGAAGGTCTCGTGTCCCCTCAGCCGCCGCCGCCATGTTGTGGCGCTCCCGCCGCCCCCCCGCGCTCCGCGCCTGCCGCCGCCGCCACCGGCAAAGCCGCCCCGAGCGCGTCCCCGTCCCCCAGTGAAAGCATTAAACCAGTCCCCGGCGCTCCGCGCCCACACCGCCGCCTCACGCAGACCCTTTCCCCACACAGACACACCGCCCCGCCGCCGCCGGTCGCGGCCCCTCTCGCGCCCCGTACGCCGCGTCCGAGCCCCCGCGGGCCCGCGGAGGGCAGGAGAAGGCACCGCGGCGGCCACGACCGCCGGTCTCGTTCCCCCGGCTCCGCACACCCTTCCCCGGCGCCGCCGGAGTCCCCGCGGCGGCCGCTGCTTACCCGGCCGAGGCCATGGCGGGCTGAGGCGCGGCGCCGGCGGCTGCGATCGGGAGCGATTCCATCGGTGCCCATGGAGCGGGGCCGAGCCCCGCGTGTGCTCCGGGCGGGCGGCGGCTCTCAGGGGGCTCTGCCCGCACACGGGCGGTGCTGCGGCTGCTGCTGCATCACCACGGGGCCCTCAGCCCCGGCTCCATGCGAGAGGCGCCCGCCCGCGCTCCCTCCCTCCCCCTCCGCCCGGCAGTGACACGCACATGTGCTCCGGGGGCTGGCAGCGGGGCCGCGAAAATTAAAGGAACAAAGGGGGGAAACCGAAGGGAGGTGGATAAATAAAGTGCGCCTTTTGCCCGCCTGGGAAAGTCGGAGCTTTTCTGGCGGTGATGGAACGCACAGAAATGAGTTTGTCCAGAGTACAGCCACCCTGGGGACCCCTTCAGTGCTGCCCATGATGCCTTAATCAAATCAAATTTTAATTATATGGCTGTTCAAACAGGCTGTAAAAACGAATGATCCTACGGCTGGAACTCTCCCCACACACAGTTTCTGTAATAGTAACTTAGGGGAGTTAGTTGACTTGAAATAAATTTAAAATACCTCCAAACCTGATCTGGTGAGTGGCATCCTTGCTCATGATAATTACTAAATTATTTGTAAGGTCCCTTCAAACCCAAGCCATCCTGGGATTCTGTGAAAACCCAAGTAAAATTGTTTAATTACTGCTGGGGCCTAAAAATTTTCACCATCATATTGTTTAATGATCACTTGCAAGACCCCTTAAAATCAGCATAATTCTTCACTATGTCTTGCTGATCTGCCCTAATATTGACTTTGGAGAAAAAATTAATCAGATACTTAGATCAATTTGCTTACGTCTATGTCACACTTGATTTATTGCATTTAAAGTAGTTACAATTAAGAAGTCCTTTTACCTGTTTATGCCATGCCCACATTAATACATGTTAGATTTACTGGTAGAACACTATGTAATTTTTGATATCAAAATAAAGGCTGAAAATGTTTCAGTTGAACAATTTCAGATATATTTAGATTCAGCTGATGCAAATGGCCTTGTCTCAACCAGGCATGTCAAAAACATGCAAAAGTTGCCCCAAAAAAGCCAGAGAAGGACATTAGTGTGTGCTGCATGTTCCCCTCTGAGTCCTTACAAACAAAACTAATCTGATAATTACAAAAAGTGTCTCCTCATACACGTGAGGGTCCACAGCCCTACAGGAAGATAACTGTTCTTGCTCCCTTCATCTCTATTTAGTGAATAAACTCCCTTTATTTAAACTCTTTTATTCAGTTTCAGTGTCAGATGGTTTTCAGATTAATTCAATATTTTACTTTCATTTTGTTAAGACCAGTGATTGCTGCTGGTAATGTTGAATTAGCAACATTAGTTAATTAGTAATATATTAGTAATATATTAGGATTATATTAGTAATACTTACATTAGTAATAGTTCTGCTACAATCATCAATACTACTTAGAACATCTATTCATGTTACTTTCCCTTTCAAAGGAGGAGTCTGGTCTGGTGCTTAAATATGCAAAAAAGAACATGAAACTTTATTTCCTAAGGTATTTTACAAAGGACAGTGATGTTCTCACATTATAGCTCTTGAAGGGAGGAAAACTGGATTAAATTTTGTTTTATTAACAATATCATAGCACAACTGTAATGCTAAATTAGACTAAAGACTAATGTTCTTTGGCTTCATAAAGAAAAAAGTTCTAAATGTGGGACAAACCAAGGATGTGCTATTTCAGGGGATGTAGAGACAAAACCCAACTTTGCACAGCCCTCACAGACCACCACACTCAGCCCCTGAGGCGATGGATAAAGTAAAAAACAACCTATAAGCATCCCTAAGGTCTTTGGGCCGCCTCTCTCCCTTTCCCCAGCCGCTCTAGACTTCAGGGATTTCTGTGCTAAAGCGAACTCCGGATGGCCCAGCCGAAAACACCGCTCACTGGTTCCCGTCCCTCCTCCCCCTGCGGTGCTCTCTGGGTGTTGCATTTCCGGAGCGTTTCTTTCTACTATCGCGTGCCCTCTGGAGCACAGTAAGTCCCCGAGCCGCGCTGGAAGCGTGCAGGAGCCGCGGTTCCCTCGGGTGCGTGGCTGCCGCTGTCCCGGCGCTGCCGCTGTCCCGGCGCTGCCGGTGGCCCCGCGCTGCCCGCGCCGGGCTGGGGGCGCGGGCGGCCGGCCCGGGGCCGTGTGCGCCGTGCCCGCACCGCAAAATGGCGGGACACTCCTCATGGGGTATCCCCGCTCTTCAGGGCAAATGCCCTCACGGCTTGGCGCTCAAGGCACCCCCCTCATAGCATCCCAGTCATGGCTTGGCCCTTATGGCAGTCTCCTCATGGCTTGGCGCTCACAGCATAGTCCCCACAGCAGTACCCTCAGGGCATGGCCCTCAGGGCACCCCCTTAATGGCAAATGCCCTCATGGCATCCCGTCTCCTCATGGCTTGGCGCTCACAGCATAGTCCCCACAGCAGTACCCTCAGGGCATGGCATCCCCCTCATGGCGTGGTCCTCTTGGAATCCCCATCACGGCTTGGCCTGGTGAGAAATGCTACTCACTTTCAAAAATGTAAAAGGTTTGTTAAACCTTTATCAAAATACAACAGAAGACTGAATAGAGAAAATATTACAGAGCTGGAGCAAAGGATTTTTTCCCCCCGCCATGTGCTTTGAACCCTTTGGCCCCTCCCAAAGCTCTGCCCACCGACTCCTCCTTCCCCGTCCAGTGGTGGAGATCATTTCCTTAAATCTCAATCGATGCCACAGCAACAATGCCACCCTCCAAAATGTCCCAGGCCACCCCCTGATAACAACACAAGGGGGGTAAAACATAACTATAAATCTATAAAACTTCTCCTAACAAATATGCATGATATTTGCATTTGAGTTGTGAGAGTCAGCCATGGCATTACTCATCTGTCGCAGCCCTCATAGCAATCCCGTCACAGCCTGGCCTTCACAGCCAAAGTGGTGAAATATTTACTTGAAATAAGTAAATATTACCTCTCTGGTTTTGGACTTTGATTCACTTGAATTCTTTCCCTGCTGTTTGCAAAGTTGGGGGCTTACCAACTTTTGAAGCATTTTTTTTAATTTATCCAGTAGCTTTTGGAATTGAGCATAGTTAATACTTATGCTATTGTTTTGGGTATATAGCTGAAAGGGTAACACAGAAAGTGCATTTCAAGGTTTGTGCTGCTCCCTCATCATGGTACAAAACATTGAGCACTTCCAGCATCCTACTTGCTTGAGGTGTCAAATTTAGTACTATGGGGGTGGTTGTAAAAGTTTATGATCCTGTTTATTTTAGCAGCAAATCTTGAGGGAGTGTTTTGCCGAGAAAAATGCCAAATCCAGCTGTTTGGAGGATCGTACCTGGACACAAGGGGCCTGTGTGGCAGAGCTTCAGCTTGGGCCATGAAAGACACATATCATAATGACTTTTTTCTTTTATTTTCTTTTCTACACCACACTGAATGGCAGGAGGTGAAATGAGATGATCTTTAAGTTCCCTTCCAACCCAAACCTTTCATGACTCTATATGGCCAGGTGAGAGTGGGAATTTATCCTAAATAAAACACATGAGTTAAAAGAAGCTTATTTAACCCAAAGCTCTAACTAAAAATAATAATTGCCACCAGATTCTGGAGGCCTCCAGGCTACTTAAGCTGCTCTTCATGTGTTGAAGTCTGAGGAAGTGAAGAGTTTTCTAAGGCTGCGTTTTTTTCCTTCAGGATGAGCCTAATTGTGCCCCAACCTAAACCTGCAGTTCCCCTGTGGGATTCTGACCATTTTGCAGGTTTGGTTGCCATGGCTGTTTATTGTTGTGCCTTGGAGCTGCCTGCACACTTGGCACAGTGAATTCCCTCTGGAAACTGAGCCACACAGGGAAAAAACGCAGAGAGAGGTGGATGTCTTCCCTCCACAGCCCCTGGTTCTCTGGTGTGTCTGTCCCTGGGACTGGGGCCAGGCTGGGGCAGGAGGTGGGAATGGGAATGCAAACTTGAGGGTGTCCTGGTCCCTCCATCCATCAGGGTGACCCGGGGGCACAGCTGGGTTTGGTGTCTCAGCCTCCCTGGCTGTGGTGATCCTTCACCCCTCAGCAGCTGGGAGTATTTCCTTTATACACCCACAGTGACACATTCACTTTGCTGCACTGCTTACCCTCGCAGTGTCTGCTCTCCGGCACTGCCCTCCTGCCCCAGGTGCCCATGCTGCCCTGGCACGGGCAGGAGCAGAGGGAAGGGGAGCCTGCAGGGGGAGAGGTTGGGCTGGGACCAATGGGGACGGGCCCAGGCAGGGGCATCTCAGCCCTGTGCACCCGCAGTCGCTGAACCCGCGGCTTGCGCATCCCCGGCTGAACGGGGGCCAGCAGCTGGCACACATCCCCTGG